CAGAAGTCCCAAGGTGTGGAGATACTCCCCTGGACAGTGCTCACGGAGCTGCTAGAGAGAGTGAAGGGGCTTGGGCTCATCACTAAGGATGAGATCCTGAACCTTGCCGTGGAGATACTCCCGGAAGGTGGGATCCGAAAGGTGCTCACACACCTCCACTCCATATCGGGAATCGATGAATGGGGACAAATACGGCACAGAAGACGCAGAGCCCTGGTCGAACAGGGGATGCAGTACCTCTCTTTGGTTCGCATCCATGCTGGAGACCTGCTTTCCCCAGCAAGCCTCGGTTACCAGCGGTACGACTTGGAGATAATGGAACGAGAATCCCATATCACGGGATACGTCGCCAAATATCTCCCTGCTGAGTACCAAGAGGCATATCAAGCTGATGTGCAGACGTTGAGGTCTCAGTTTTTTGCTGAAGACGGCAGACTCAACCTGGCCTCGGCGACGTGGGAGGTATCTTACAATCACCTCATGGCCGCCACTTCCTGAGCCAAGTGAGAAGAGGAGATGCTCCCTAAGCAAGAGCTCCTGTATAAAGAGAGGAGTTTCTCCCTCGTTTGGCGTAGAGCTGGTGGAGTTACTCCCCAGGGGTTTTTGAACTAAAGAGTCACAGGTGGAGCTTCTCCCCTAGTTGGTGGAGCTTCTCCCCCAACGAGGGGTGTACAGCTGGTGGAGTCTCTCCCTCGGGGTTTTTAAAAGCTTTGAGTCGCTGCCTGCAATAATTCTGCCTGCACTGACACACACTGAGCCAACAGCATTCCATCATCCGTGATGCAGGTCTCCTCGTGGTGGCCTGGAGCTCAGTGGCCTATGCCCAGCTGCCTGCTTAAAAGCCAGCCTGAGTCAGCTTCAGCCAGCTTGAGCCAACAATCGCAGCTTTCTCTCAAGACTCAGCATCATGTCCAGACCTGAGTCAACACAGGATCCCTCGTTTCAGGCGGAGTACGAGGAATTCTGCCAGCGACGGATACGCGAACAACTTCCGCATGCCACGTATCGCAATTTCCTGCGCCAGTGGAGGCGCTCCGCTCGTGCTCACGGCGAAAGCTATCCTGCATATAAAGGAGCCCCTAAAGGTACTGGCGGACAGGAAGAGCAGGGAAGCGGAAAGGGTGGAGTCACTCCCCCTCCTCCTCCTTCCAAGAAAAGAAGTACAGGGCAAGGCGAGGGTGGAGATACTCCCCCAGCAGCAAAGGCCAAGAGCGGAGATCCTCCCTCTGGGGACCCCATCACGGAAGCTGCGATCAAAGTTCTTCAGTCAGCTGGTTACACCCCCTTTCCCAGTCTGATGCCAGACTGTGATGGGAACATCACTGAGCTGAACAATCACCGAATTATGGTGACAGTAACTCAGCAGCTGAGAGATGGTCTCAATCAGGTGGAACGACCCTCCCCGGAGGTAGCCAATGCTCTCCTGGAGACCTTCCTGGCCTCTCGCCGGGGACTTGCCAATGAGCCTCTGCATCCTAAGCTTGGATATCCCACAGCTGAAGAGAATGGGTGGTTTCGTTTTGAGTATTCTTCACCGAACATTCTTCCTGCAGGGGACAGCGAGGTTGCATTCCACGGTACACACCTGGAATGTTTGCATGGGATACTAGCCACAGGCAGGCTACTACCTTCGACACCTGACCTCTCTGGCACGCGAAGCTTCGAGGCACGACCAGGCGTGTATCTTCACAGGATGTCAAACAGGCATCTTGCTGCCGGCTACAGTTGTCTGGTGAGGATAGGACCTCGGCACATATTCGTGCGGCCCATGTTTGAGGTGGAGGCTGCGCACTCTGGATCGCAAAAAAAGGGTAAGAAAACAAACCAACTGATATACTCCTATGATGCAGTCAAAATCCGAGCGCTGCTACTGCAAATATCAACCAAGGAGACACTCACCTTAGGTGAGTACCTCCGAGAGTGGAGTGGCTTGTTGGAGATACCACTGAAACAAGCACGGGAATCCTTTTCGGCGCTGGGATACGAGCTGCCTGGCGAAGTCTCGTCAAGCGGATTCAAGGAAGGAGGAGTTGCTCCCCTTCCGGTTCGTGAGCAGGCGTCGAGCTCACAGGGTGGAGTTTCTCCCCCGACCATGGCGCCAGAGATTGATCACAGCTCAACAACGCCACGCAGCTCCACTATAGTGGCCTGGGAAGGCCAACCAGGCGATCTAGGGGACTATTGTACTGCCTCTACGAAGCCGGAGAGCAACTTCTCGTTCGAAGTCTCGAAGGCTCTAGCAGCTTCGCTCCGGCACGGACATAAACCCTACCTCAGCGTCACTTCAGCTGGCTGGGCCAAATTAGAGGACGTCCTGAGATGGCCAAGAGTGCAGGCCCAGCACGCCACGGCAGGCGACCTCCTGGAGGTCGTTCGGAGTAACGCAAAAGGCAGGTACGAGCTGGGCGATTGCCAAGGCCAGAAGTACATCAGGGCTCTGCAAGGACATTCTCGCTCTGATGTGGACTCCAATGAGGTGTTGGAGGAACTCACGGAGGAGATGCTCCCCAGAATGCTGTATCATGGCACATTCTGGTCCTTGTATGACTCCATACGCCAACGAGGCCTTCTGCCTCAGAACAAGATTTCCAAGGGTCGCGGCAAAGGTGGACGTGGCAGAGAGGGACGACAGCATGTTCACTTCGTCTCGGATCGGGACTATGGGAGACCTGGTGTTTCTGGATTCAGAGATAGCTCGTCGATGCTGGTGGCGGTCGATCCACGCAGAGCCATGCAGGTAGGGGTGCAATTTTTCCGTAGCAAGAACGGCGTCATTCTCACCCCCTCTGAAGTGCCCCCTTCTGTCATAGAGTACTACCAGAGCCTGAAATCAGGTACTAAGTACGGAGGCGACAACAGGCCGCTCTGATCGTGAGGACCCTCACCTAACGGTGGAGTCCCTCCCCACACTGATAATGCAGCTGCTCATGCAAAAATCTGTGTTATGAGGCTGAAGGTCACTTCAATTTTATCACCAGACAGCAAGTATACCCCGAGGTCGCATGTGAAGCTCCGTGCGAAGTCGTGGGCCCGGATCTGCAAGTGAGTTGTCAGCCAAAAGTTTTCTGGAAGCTCTACTTGCCTTCTCGTACAGGCTCAACTCACCAGCTGTCTCGACTGTAGAAGCCATGCCTGAAACACCGAAGAAGAGTGGCAACAGAGCGACCTCCCGAACTCCTCCTCCAGTGCGTCGTCGTCCCCACATATCCAGGTCGCCGCCAGCCAGTGACTCCATTAGGGAGTCCGACTCCGAAGACACAGCAGCCCCCACAGCAGCCCCCAAAGCAGCTGGGCCTAAGGGCCCGCCGCCTCCGATGCCTGTTAACCTGTCAGGAAGTGGATCTAGCACAGATCGGACACCGGGACCAGGCAAGGCACCTGGAGTGCCAGCGAAAGGTGGAGTCCCGGGAGGAGTTTCTCCCCTGGGACCACCGCCAAAGGCTGTGACCTCAACGATCTCCCATCCAGGGACAGGAGAGCTTCATGTCACCAGCACAGGTCCGGCAGGAGTTGCTCCGCCATCTACAAATGGCAACAACGGGCTGGAAATGGCGCCTGGCCTGCCATTACTGAGTGTTTCATTGCCTCACCGCCTCTACTATAACATAGAGCTAGTGGTTCGTACCGAGCCTTCACAGCGAGGCTAGACATTCTCGCGAGACAGCAGTGTGCAAAATGGACGTCGCCAATCAGTCAGCGATACATTGCAAATCAGCCAGTTAATTCCCTCATTAGTGCCAGCGTCTGCAGCTCGAGTCACTGACGACACGTCCGATTCCGACTTCATTGCTTGCAGCCTTGAGGGGCGGAGCGTGTGCGAGTGCTGTGTTAAGGCACGGCTCGTCATGAAGTGACCGCGCAAGTAGCAGGCAGAGCAGCAGGTCGATCCCTCGCAAAGCGTGGACGCCAAGTTTCACCTCAGACAGTATCCTCCCGCTGCGTGTGAATGAAATGTTGTTGTAGTGGTTGTTGTTCCTGTGGCTGCTGTTGTCGGTTGGTTGATGTTGTTCATGTTGTTGTGTCTGTTGCTGCTGCTGCTGCTGCTGCTGCTGCTGCTGCTATTATTGTTGGCTGTGTTGTTGCTGTTGTTGCTGCTGTTGTTGTTGCTGCTGCTGATGTTGTTGGCTCCGTTGCTGTCACTGATGCTGTTGTTGTTGTTGCTGCTGCTGCTGTTGTTGGCTCCAACGTTGACGTAAACTCGCGAAGACAGACAAGCCGTTTGTATTGGTTTCTTCAGCACATCCTGCACGAAGTGGCGAAAACGTCTGTGTGGCCGATGTTTCGTGCACACGCATGCCGTGTGTATGGTTTTACAGCACATCCTGGACGTTGGACGTAAACGCGGGAAGACCGACATGCCGTTTGTAGTGGTGTTGACAGCACATCCTGGACGTTGGACGTGAACGTGCGAAGACCGACGTGCCTTTTGCATTGGATTTACAGCACATCCTGCACTCGAAGTGCCGAAAACGTCGGTGTGGCCGACGTTCCGTGCGTGCGTGTGGGGTGTTTTCCTGATGTAGTCCAGAAGGCGGAGCAGCTAGCTTTCGTGATAGAAACGAAAGACTCGCTGCGCTAGCTTATATATTTATTTATTTTTTGAATATATAGACAGAATTATCGGATAATGAAAACCGCAGCTTCTGAAATATAACCAAAGCAACAAGTCCAAAGCCCTCGCCCAGGGCCTAAGAATGCCAAACCCAAACCCTAACCGGCACTAATCAAGACCCTCAAACTCCCCTCAAACTCCGAAGTGCGCAGTCGACAGCAAATTCAAAATGAACCCAAAAAAATTGAAGGTGGCAGACACTCAACGAAACCCGACGAGGCGTAACTAGTTGCTTGATACACCACACTGTAATCAGAGAGAAGAGCAAATCGTGATATCAAGTTGTCGCATATAGTGACTATCCGAGTGGAGAATAGCCAGTATACGATAATTTTTGAGGAAGGAAATTTCTGCGTCTGTAGCATCAGCCCCACAACGGCCAGGCGTTTTAAACGCCGCAGCTCGATGGGCAGAAAATGCTGCTACCAGTGCAGCAGGTTCGGGGGCAAAGAAGGCTCAGTGGAGAGAAAAGCGAAGGATGTCCATCACAGTATCGCACTTCCGTGATGACCTCTGGGAGTGGCAAGGCGGCTATTCTATACACATTCATACTGACAAGTGCAGGCCAATCCCGGCAAATTGGGAAGAGACCCGCCCACCTCATGCGTGAACTCAGCCAAATAGTTGCAGCCCGCTTGCTTCATGCTGTGTGCCACCTCTGCGAGGTTGAAGATCTGTTCCGGCGTTGCGCCGAAATAAGCTTCCATGGCTGAAGGGTACCTCGACATGGTTGGAGGGACATAACCACAAGTACATCATACATCAGAATAGTAAAATCATAACTCTGATTTTCTGTGCTATGCTGTGACGTGATCTCCTATTGCATGATACTGAATTGCTTGTCCAATGCTGAATTCTGCCAGATGCTGCGTTGTATTTAACACTACGCTATTCACTACACCGAACATCGCTGCATTAAATATATGATATGCTATGCTATGCTGCGAGGTGATCCGCTATTGCATGATACTGTATTGTCCGATGCTGATTTCTGCAATATGCTGCGTCGTATTTAGTGCACATCATGCTATTCACTACGCTGAACTCATCGCTGCTCTACTCTACTGTTCTTGACCTAAGCTTGTGATGCTATTCACTACACTAAACTCAACTCTATTCCACTCTACAACTCCACACTACACTTCGCTACACGCCGGTTCTTTACCGTACCATACCATACGATACGGTAGGAAACGTTGTTATAATGTGAGATACGAAAGGAAACGATGTTATGCTATACGACGCGATACTATATATCCACGACTACACTGCACTATACTACATTATATTCGGCCGTAGTTCACGATGCTAGGTATGCGAGGGTATACGGTATTGAGCACTGTACAATACTACACTGCAGTACAATGCATTCTGTTCGTTTTCTAGTTATGGTATACTCTGATATGCTGTGCGAGGCTATATACGGTTATGCTATTATATGCTGTGTTATGCACAAAAAGACTACACGGTAGTAAAATGTATTCTGCTCGTTTCTAGTTATAGTATGCTCTAGTATGGTATTCGAGGCTAATTCTGTTATACTATGACGATATGCTGTGCAATGTCATGATAAGCTATGTTAAACCGTTGCATGTTGCAGCATTATGTCATATTCTGCTGCGGCTATGTCAAAAGCTACTTCAGGAAACACTATGTCATACTTTGCTCGCTTCTGTTATAATGGATGTTCGGTCAAATTATGACTTACACTGGGTTCATACTTTAACATGTTTTGGCATTGCAATGCACTATGTTTTAGTTTATGCTTCGTACTCAGACGCATGATACACTATCTTCTATCTGTACACATATGTATGTGCGTATATAACTGTATATACAAACATAGGTATATTAGACCAGCCAGAATATTACACATGTGTAAACAGCTGTATCATATATTATATATTCTATGCTATGTTGTATCCTGATACACGAATGTATTTTAATTGCCTTCCTACTGTGTACCTATACCTGTGTGAACATCCAGCATAAAATCTAGTCAACTTATCTAGTCTAGTATTGTAAAGTATAACGTAGTGAAATTTGATATTGCGTCAAGTTGTACCTGTAATTTTGTGCTACCATGCATTTTGTGACATTTACGCTGTGCTATACTACTACGCCCAAGCAAGAAGAATGTTCTTGTTGAAAAATCCAAGGTACATGTCCCAGAAGGACTGCCAAGCTTCAGAGTCTGTGCTTACGTCCACGCAGGGTTCGCCGACTATCCAGATCGGCTGCTCGTCCAGACCTTCGTTTCTTATCCCGACGAATGCCGAACTAATCCTTGGAAGATCTTCTAGAAATCCTTGGCATGAGAAAGTCAAGAAATAGTTCCTGCAAACTGCACCCGAAGCAAATCGCTGTCTGCTGGGCTAGTTCTCATGGTTGGGATAGGACTAAAGAGGTACATTTTTGTTCCTGATAGGGTTTAAGTACCCATAAAAATGTAAAATGGTACCCAACTATGACACAGTGGGGAAGCGTCCGATATCCCGAACCCGAGGCCTGAAACCGCAAACATCAAACGCGCGCTGATCCTAGTCCAGGTGCATCTCTTCAAGCATCCTTGTGCTCGCACTTTGAACAACGGATTGGCCTGCAAGAGTATATGATTTTCGAGCTCTGGGCTCTAGGTTGTGGAAGTCAAGACAGCATCGTGCCGTGCTCTGTGAAAGTGTCGGCTCTGGGATTCCTTATCACTTGCCACTACTACTGTTGATTTTTGAAAAAGTCTGCATTACCCATAACAAGGAATAGACCATAATTCCCATAGTTTAGGGTCCTTGTGGTAATGCAGGATGGAGTATCATTAACAGTATGCATAAGCTTGCTCGCTGTGCTTGCCATTCTGTAGTGAGCATTTTTGAATAGGCCCTGCCCAGGCTCAGCGTCGAAAAGCCGTGCTTCATGTACTGGACAGCCCAACCGGACAGCCGCGAGAAAGCTCAACATCTGCTGTCTGCGCTGGGTAGAAGGACTCAGGTAAAGTCATGGTTGTTGTAGGTGGTTATACAAAATTCGGCTGGGATACCTGGACCATTGTACGTCATCTTGTTATCTCAATCGCCCGGAAGTGGCTGAGTGTTGGGATGTGCGGATGCTGTACACACAAAACTCAGAGCTTTATCTTCTCAGCTTCGGGAGCCGAATGACCTTTAGCTGAACTCATGCAGTTGAACCAATACCGAGTTGGTCTTCGTCGCACTGCTTGCAGTGCACGTGTCCGTTACCGTGTTAAAAGTGCTGTACCGCCTGTTTGCAACACGGCTGAGCAGCCGTGTTGTTCAACGTTCTGCTTCTAATTTGTGACGTGCACTTGCTGTAAACACCGAAACACGAGATGTCTTCACATTCAGCTACTTCTGCGCATGGGAATGTCCATGCGTACCGCGACATCACATGGACCCCTCTTGCTCATTGCTGCGCTTTCTCACAATTTACAACGGTATCACTGTCGAGGAAACCTAGACGGGACTGCGGTTGCATAGCTTCTTGTTTCGAAAGTCATTGTGGCATTGCAACGTCTCGTGCTGGCTTTTTTCGCGCCAACATATGTGTTCGACGTGATCTTGCGTTGTTGTCTTGCCAGTGAACGTATCTCGTGGTAGGATTTGCCTGTGGCTCGGTACAGCCGCAAGTCACACCGCAGACCATGCGAAGGAGCTGCGCATCGACATCGGTGCAATGACTTGCCATGTCCTCATGTATGGGAAAGAAAAACAAGGAACAAATGAACAGTATACTGGCAAGCAACTCTTCGGCATAGTGTTGTAGATTACCGAATCGTGTAATCAAGCGCATTAACAACCCCGATAGTGCGAGCAATTACACCACATCAGGATGATGGTTCCATGGCTCTTCGCAGGTGCTGTTCGGCGCCATGCCAACAGACAAAGAGGCGGACCGAAAGTAGGGTCCGTAGGTGCTGGGTATCGGTCGCTCTTCCCCGCGAAGGAACCATCGGTCGAAGTTGGTGCACTCCAGAATGGAAGTGGTGGCTGTAGCCATGGTTTCCACTCGCGTCTTCTCAAAGCTCCGTGGTGAGGCGTGAAATAAGATCAGGTGGCTCTCGTTTGATTTGAACGCGTAGTCATACACAGCACCAGTGATCTCGTCTTCAGCGCGGGCTGGGTCATAGGCCATGCTCGACCGTCCGACTGCCAAACCGTGATGGTCGTTTACGCCGACCACAAAGTTCTGGTTTCCACCGCAATACTCGGTCTTGATGCGTTCCATGGTCTTAGCAATGGGGTCAACCAGCTGATGCCAGGTTCCGATCGTCACCCCGAAGAAGAAGAGCAAGAGGAGAAGGGTTTCAAGTTGGCTCCGCCACGCAGAGTTGCGAAACTGCAGGGGCTTTAGCTTTCTCATGCTGACCTGGAGCCGCTTTGGCATGAAAGCCGCATAGAACACGGCGTCGAGCTCAAACAATGTTTTTATGGCGACGGCCCGTAAGACTATGCTCCTTATGGCTATGGCGTTCACCAGCCACTGGATGCCGGCGGCAAGCAAGAGGCTTGAAATAACAGCCTGGGTTCCAGACCGGACAAGCTCCTTCTATCACGCAGGGCTCGCTGCGCGCAAGAACCCCGCTGAAAGGCAATACTCTCCGCTCCCTGCGCCCGAAACTAAAGCCGTCTGCTGAATAGACTGCCCAGTAGCCTTCAAGAGCCGCAGTGCGCAGAAAAGAAGAACACGTGGAAGTGACACCGACCGAAGGGTTCCCAGCTCCAGAATGGAGGGCCCCCGCGGCACGTTCCACAAGCCTTCTTCAGGTGTAGGGTGTTCAGTTCTCGCTTTGACGCTATGGTTTGAAGTCTCCAACTACAGGCTTCAAGACACAGGCTTTCGAAGCCAAGCATAAGGCTGAGGGAAAGTAGCGATGCCTTCCACAAGATGTCAAATGTAACAGGCAACGGTCGCAAGAGCATACAGTCATACAGATCAGCAAGGCTTCAACACAGAATCAGATCGGAAACAGGCAGACATCTAAAAACTTAAAAAGAATCATGACTCATATAACAACAAACTCCCAAACTATAAACCCCAAACCCTCAACAACTACAGAAAAGGCCACACCTTCCAAGGACGAGAAGATGGACCGGTACTCTCTGGCCACGTAGAGGCACCACCAGGCAATGCATAGAACACACAGCACACTCCCCGGAGAGACGCCCTCCGGAGTCAACCTGGGACAAGGCGTCGATTTCAACAGCCAAGAACGGCTTATCCAAAGGTAGGGTTCTGTAGTTTAACATAAGCTGGACAAACGAAATTGTAAATTATCCCAACCCGTCACCTAGCAACTCGTGAGCTTTCATGCCAAGGTAAGCGTTCAGCTGCGAGATGAGGTCTGCCTGCTTCGTGGACATGATCAAGGATCCATCTTCGTTGCAAACGCGCGACACAAGGCTCGTTTCAGTGATGTCCAGATGCTTGAAATCATGCGCAGTGAAGGTCCGCCACCTCCTCGCAGTGTCGATCTGTCCGGCCAGGGGCTTTCCAAGGAAAGCACCAGTTAGAAGTACGTAGCACAAACCTCCCTGCAGCAGAAGACTTCCGACCAAGACCCCGCAGCCAACCACAATGTCGATCCAGCCAGCCTTTGTGAAGCCCAGGACGAGGAGCAGATTCCAAGTCGACTCTGAAAAGGGGATCGGCTCTTTTTCATCATCCGGGAGCCAAGCTTCTTTCGTCCCCTGTTTGGATGCTTGAGGCTTCGAAGTCTCCGCCTCCGGCTGCACCTTTCTTTTTGATGGCTCCGAAGGTACTACGGCAGTTGGGCTCCCCAAAAAGGCCCCAGGCTCCGCGACCTGCAAACGCGCATCTCGCAGGCTGCGCAGCTCCGACTCCAGGCGCTCCAGCCGCCCCAAGCACTCGGAGAGCGCCTGCGCCGTTTCGGCCCGGAGCTCCTCCCGAAGCCTCTCCAGCTGCTCCGGGACCGGGTCCCTGGCATCAGCTGCCATGGCTTTCCTTGCAAGCCCAGCCCCATGAAAGGAGGGAGTGGAGGACAAGGTCCTGACCCTTATAGGAGCTTGAAGACTTAGCAAGAATGTCTGGGAGAAATCTCTATCTCGTCGCCATCACAGGCTGTCCACAGCGAACTGTACTGACTATGGAGTGGGACCATGATCGATCTTTAGTGCTACAGCTTCCGCCGCAATCGTCTCGAGAGTCATAGATACACTTTCAGAACTGTTCAGGCTCGGAGGTTAAGAGCTTGTTGGGAGTGGGGACTGGAAAGGCTTGGAGTTAAGGTTTAGGGTTGGGCAGACCCGATTTTCAAAGAGCTAATTGCAAGTATCAGGTTCCAAGATGTTAGGGTTTCATGGAGAACCTTCAGTCCAAAGCTTTGCAACCACCAGGATCTCATCGGGGAGCTCGTGAGATGCAGGCTGGCAGCTTCCGTGTCCGACTTTGGATGCATTTAGACTTAGCCTTCTTTTCGAAATGACTCGAAAGTGCCGTTTCCAAGCACTGAACTCAAGCTACAGGGATAGGACCTGGCTCAGAGATTGAAACCATCATACCAGTTGCTTGGAGAGGTTCAGAAGAAAAAGTCACGGTTACGCTCAATATGCGTCACATCTTGCAATGCATTCAACCCATCACACAGCAGATTTGCACGAACCCATCCTCAGACATCAAGGCTTACCTGTCCATTGTAGGATAGGTTCCTTAATATCTAGAATAGGGTTTTGTGGCACTTTATACTGTAGGTATAATCAGGAGCCCCCAAAATAGTACTGGTATGTCTTTAGGCCGCTGTAGTACATGGTTTGACGTTAAGTTCTTGAGAAGGAGGGAGTGGAACTTCTCACTGCTACTTGAAGTAGCTACTGTATCCCCGAAGCGGATGGATGACAAACTCGCCCATAGTCTAAGAGGGACCCAACCCGAACAGTCACCAAAAGGCATGACAAAATCCGACACCCAAAGAGGTCTTTGGACCAGAGAAGGTCTTGCCCTTTACAACGATGGTGAGATACATTTGTGGGGGGAAGTGCTTGTTTGGATCCTTGCAGGGGCTTCTGCAGCCATCAGGGGGATCAGAGTTTTTTGGCTCCTCGGGGTTCGGGACTTGGAGTCTGGGCTGTAGGACTCGAGCTTAGCCCTCCGGATGAAGCATTTTCAAATCTTTACCCCGCACTCTCGCACTTTTTGTCCGTGTGCGACCGCGTACAGAAGCTCATCGTGGCGAGGTCTGCGGTCTGTCTTTGGAGATGACCAGGAGGCCCTGAGTTGAGCTAAACAAGCTGCTGTCCAGCGCTCTGTGGAGCCATTTGCGATTGAGCTTGGGCCTTTATAACGGTTCCTGTTCTAAGGATAAATGCGAAGGAAACGTGTGCCATGCGCATCCTCGTCTGGAATGGAGCCGACAACAACAACTCCTTATGGGTTCATGTGCCCGAGACCCTGCAAGGACGATCGTTGCAAAGACACAGGCTCGTAGCTAGTCAAAGGGCTGGACATGGAGGCCCCTCTTCGGCCCTGAGGCCTATATGGGAGTTTCCGAAAATTAGGGGTACCTGATTTGGGGTCCTTATAATAAGGATCCTACTATTTAGGGTACTATATTAGGGTCCCCTATTTTCGGAAACTCCTATATACCTCTATTGTAACCGTGCGCTGTGGCTTGCAAGTAATGCCAGCTCAACATCACACATGTGTAACCTTACTGTCATTGTCTGACAGTTGTCCTCAGGTGTGGTATCGGAACATGAGAGCTGCTTTGCTGAGGCTCGTTCTGACAGGAAGCGCTTTGAAACCGATACCAAACCCTCCCCACCTTGTTGAACAGGTTGCTTGTTGGGTACTTGGGGGATGAGGAAACTTCAAGAGGAAGTAACTATCAAATCGGTGAGCCCCTAAGTTGTGCAAGTTGATGACCTCAAATCGGCGATTGGTAGGGGAGTGCAAGCATACGTTCGCACTTGCAACCCTCCAGCCCAAAGCCTAAAAGTCAACCCTAGCACCTTTAGTCGCTGACCCTGTATACCCCATTTTATAGCTCTTTCGAACCCTAAAACTTCAACCCCCCAACCTCCTAAGGCCTTAAAACCAAAGTGCAGGAGCGGCCTCGAAATCTTCTTCCACATAGGCGAAGCGGCTGCTGTGCAAGGCCTGCACGCCAGGCAACTTTCGAGGTCGCTCCAGGGGTTTACATTGTAGGGATCCTTTCGTATAGCGGGGCAACAGGTTTGGATTCAGGCGTGTAGGTTTGGAGGCGCATTAAGACGTTGGGAATGAGGGTGTGCGCTGAAAGCCTTGAATTTGGTTTAGGGTTACAGTTTACAACTTGGGAATCAGGGTATTGCAGCTGCGCAACCAGACCGGAGACCCCAAACCGTGAACTTTGCTTGGTATGTTCAAACCTCGGCTCAGGGTTTCAGAATAATGTCCTGGGTCTCTAGTTTGAAAGGTATGACATGGTTGCTTCTCTCGGGTCAGTTGCTCAGCAGCCTGGCACCAAGCGGAAACGACTACCCACTCAGCATGTAAGCAGCAAAAACAACAAACATTGACCCAGACTATAAATGGAAGTCACTCTACACGGTTGTTCTTCTGTAGAGCCCGGAGCAACAACCATAAGTTTGCCTTTGCTTTAGGAGCATAGCGCCCCTAACCCTGAAATCCCAGATCCCAACCCTGATCTCAGCTGAAGGCCTCGAGGATCAGCCCAGCCAGAAGAGCGGCAGCGACCTTAGAAGACCAGGAGTTTATACATATATATATATATATACATATACATATACATATATATATATACATACACATATACATATACATATACATATACATATATACATATATACATATATACATATATACATATATACATATATACATATATACATATATACATATATACACATATACACATATACACATATACACATATACCCATATACATACATATATACATATATACATATATACATATATACATATATACATATATGCATATATACATATATGCATATATATACATATATATATATATATATATATATATGCATGTACACATATATACATATATACATACATACATATATACATATACACATATATATACATATATATATATATATATACATATATATATATACATATATATATATACATATACATATATACATATATACATATATACATATATACATATATACATGTATACATATATACATATATACATATATACATATATACATATATACACCTTTACATATACATATATAAGAAGATCAGAAGTTTCTATATCCTTCGAACCTGGAACCTCGAGCCTGTATTGTTATTGTTCGCTTTAAGGGCCTTTTTCTATTCCCGCAGAAGGTCTAAGCCTGTATTCTTTGGGCTTTAAATTTAGGGTTGGGGCCTAAAGGCCCCCGGCTTTCAGGTTGCGGGTTTGGGCTGATCTAAGCTTCGGGATCGAAGAGGGAGCCCACAGAGAAAGAGTCGAAAGCAGAGGGGCTCCGACACAGCATGGGCATCAGAACCTGTAGGTGTGCGTGGTTATCCGTCTCTCAATCGTGTCGGCTACAGCTAACTATGACAAGAATTGCGTTATTCATAAATGGCCATGCATACTAAATCGCCAGATCCTTTATGCGGGGTTGCATGGGGTTCTCTGTTCGGAGGCTGTGTAATCACTGGACATGGGAGAGGCATGCAAATCGTACGATTCCTCTGATATTTGGTCTCGTCGGCGGGGCCTTTCCCAAGGCAGAGCTTGTCCAAAAAACAAGGATCTCCAAAGAGACCGCAACGAGACGCTGCACCACAGAGACCTCAAAGACCTTGCAAACCATGGGCCCTCCAGCTACCCCAACGCCTGAACAAACTTGTTCTATGCAAGGAGTCCAAGTTGCATGCCACATAGAATGGGCGCAGGCTTTCGCACCCCCCATGCCGACCTTCCATGGGGCCAAGCAGCGGATGATTTGTCGCGGGTCTGAGCGCAACCCTAGACAATGAGCCTTGGACTCGGAACCTTCCAAACCTCTATCTTTCTGTTTACTTATGCACATGTTGTCATGTAGTCATGCTTACATTATATATACATGAGGGGTTTGCACTTGGAGGAGTTTGTACTACGTTTCTGGTTATGAGTTCGGAGAGACGTTTGTGTTTCGTTTCTGTTGCTCTTCTGCGAGGCTGTCGAGGTTTGGGGCCTTCTGACCGGGCGTCAAGGCCAGAAATCCTGGTGAAAAGTGGGTGGCATTCCAAGTCCAAGAAAGATTTAGTTCACACGTCTTTTCCTGTCATTAGACGCTTCATGTATGGGTCTTTCACTGTCATGGTTGCTGCGAAGCGGATAGCGGATAGCAAGCCTCCGGCACGTGCAGTCTTGGAGGGTTCCTCCTGTGAGTTCGACGTCTCCTGCCTCCATGCTGTTTCCGAGTCAAAATTCAACTGGCAAGCCGAACTACCTCCAAACCTCTGCTAACCCTGAACTCTAACTAAGCTGCGAAGTGAGTTCCACGCAAGGGGTACCAGTTTTGGGGTCCCTGTAGTTCTGTAGTACCTAGTTGGGAACTACAATTTAAACAATTCTGTCCCTTTTGATTCAAGCCCCTATAGGCCGCTAGGCCCCAATTTTGCCACTGCAAGGACTAAGACCTTTGAGCCGGAAAAATCGACACCTTCAAAGCTAAACCAACAGGAAACCCCAAACCCGGCGGCGGATTCTCCTGGATATACTCAACAGTTCTATGAGCCGTAAGTTGAATACAGCTAGACCTAAGAACCTCCGAACATCTAGAGCCCCAAACCTCAGTTCACTGCATCTGATACGGGGGCTTAAGGGAATCTCACAACTAAGCCCCGAGATCGCTTCAAGGGCGGCCGGGCCTTGGTGTCATCGTTGGCAACCGTTTGCATTCCCAGGAACAAGAAGATGCTTGACATCACCTTTCCAAGCGCTCTGAAGGAGCCAAGGCAAATACAAAGCACAAGAAGGTTTCTTGCCATTATGTATGGGCCCTTGCATACCAAGAAGCATGCCGCTCGAAAGGGACGAGCGACAAGATACCGCGCCGCTTGAAAGCAACTGGAGATATTGTGGAGCAAAAATCGCAGCTCAGAAAGGAATAGAGAATTTGGGGAAGCCCGAACTAGAGACAAACCACGTTCAACACATCTTGAAGTCCCCCGACCCCCCTAGACCCTAAACCCCAAATAGACCCCCTGCATATACTTCGCTTGCGATCCAGCCGCCGCAGCAGCACAGAGACCGAGCCGAAACCTCAATGAGCCGCAACTTTCTGGGCCTAAGGGTTAAGGCTTAGGGCATTTAGGGCTTAGGCTTAGAGATAAGGGCCTTGACAGCTGTAAGACTTGAGTTTGTGGGCCTCAAGTATCAGACCTAATTATTAGGATGTACGTTACAAGGACCGCGCATAAGAAGTCCTTCTGTAAATCCTCATTACAGACCGTCAAAGCATAGCTTTATGGGGCATCAGATTACAGTATTGGGGCGCGGGGCATAAGCCTCAAAACCAGGCCAAGTCTCCAGGACTGCGGCAGTGCGAAAGCTTTCGCAGCTGCAGACGGCCGGAGAAGCCAGAAGACGCCTCTTTCCAGCAGTAGTGATCAGCAGTGGTGCTAGTCGAGCGATCCACGCTGACATTACGACCCTGCGATGTCCTTCAACCCCAAAGACCCCATGCTCTTTCAGATCACCGTGGCACGTTCAGAATGGCTTGGCCTACCAGCACGAGACAACAAACGGCAGTTGGCCTCCCAAGAGAAAGGCATGACAGCAACAACGAGCTCAAAAAAGCCGACAGCACGAGTGGCAGCAGTACTTACAACGATGAGGAGTCGAACTGGCTAAAATCACCGTAAGAAAGAACCAACAGAGCCGTCAGTGCTGCTGTCGGTATGAGTACAAAGCCTCGTGATACCAACCTCTAAGATTATACTATAGTTCCTCCCTGAGGGGTGCTGCCATGAACAACATGAGGGAGCAGCCAGGGCACCTTTTGCAGAGAAGAGAAGCAAACCTGAGGGCAGTGTTTCAAGGTACTGCTGGCCTTTGTGTTTCGGATGAGGGTATTGTTTCAGGGTGGAGGATTTAAGGATTTGGCTTTCAGGGTTCGTCCTTCGTTCAGGGCTTTATGCTTGCTGGGTTTGCACCCTGCAGCATTCGCCAACCTGCTCTGGGAAGTCGTTAAAAGATCTTCGCCGCACTTGTGGCTTTCATGCGTTAAGACATCCAGAACAAGGCAAACAACGATTGATAGCAGCACTGATGCAAGCCATGCCGCAGACAAGAAAGCCCAGCGCAAGGTGGAATGCTGGACTGCCTGGCGCACTCGGCGCTCAGCCGATGATGAGACAGAACGCCGAAGACTCTCAACATGTCGACCCGAACGCGACTTGTACGGACTTCGACAATTACGGAGGCTGAGAATCCCCTAGCTTGTATACAGCCTATGCAGATCTGAAGGACCGGCCATCCAGCGAGTTTTCACGGACCTTGCTACTCACCCGTCATCCTCCTAATAGCCTATGATGACCAGGTTCCTCCGACACTGCTTGACCACGAATGCTCGTCACTGCCAGATTCAAAGGCTAAAACGCGAGCAAGGCTGCTTTGTGGCGACTCACAAGAATCAGGTCTTTTCAATTGCATCTTAAATGAAACTTTGAAACCAGAGCTATGTGTGCAGCGCGGCCTATCGAGTGATCCCCCCTCGCAGTGGAGATGAGCAGGAACGCCACGAAGATGCTGGGAAGTGCACGGGTCAGAGCCACCTGAGACGGCCAGGCCCCTGAAACGATTCTCAGGATTGCTTGCGAGGCTACCCACCGGTTCGAGACAGTTTCTGAAGACAGGGTGGCTGAAGAGATGGACACAGAGAACTACAGGGCGAGGGAGTTTGCCGAAGTCTCTTTAGTGCATGAAAACGCAAAGCCTAATCCCGACCCCTAACTCCACGACTGGGTTCTGAAGCCCCGAAAGAGCCAAACTTTGGACAAGGTTCTGAAAAGGGATCGATATCGAACATGTGCGAACATGTGCAGCACAGCACAGCGTTCTAGTAGAATGCGGGTAACACACAGAGTAGCACTTACACCACAGTAGCGGATCTCAACCGTGTTGGTCGTCTCGTGAAGATGTCAATTATAATGGTAATGTGCAACAAACAGGTCCAAAGAGGCTCCAATGACGGTACGATCCAGGCTTCCCTACGATCTCATCTGTCTAGGCTCCGACTCTTGACCAAAGCACCAGAAGAGGGACCTTAATCTTTCTTGCTTTCGCGATTTTCCCCGCTGTGGGCTTCCATCATCCCTTCCACATCCGAAGGCTTTGCTTGATGCCAAGGGGCGACATGCAACGGCAATCCTGCCAAAGCGAGGAGGATCAAGTAGGATTCCGAGCTCGCAGTTTGAGGCTTGCTTTCTGGGATGGCGCGATGAGCTTGAAGATTGTCTCTGATTTTGGCCTGGGGTGAGGGGCTCAAAGTGATTGGGGCTTTAGGTTTCCAGCTCCTACAAATCAAGTCTTGGGGTCCTGAAGTGCTTTCACTGTCGGTTGAGCATATTGTAGGCGAGAAGACAAACAAGGATCACACCACCACAGGGCTGTCGCGACAAGTTGTTCTTTGCTCGATGTTCGCCAGCTTACAAGAGCTAAGTGTGCCTAAGTGCGGCAGGTACACCATTGAAGATTACCCTGCACACCAGAAGCCCTAAACGCTCTTAAACTCTAGCTACTCAGCTACCAGCTACCAACAATCATTCAGGCGATGGGCGTCCAAGCAAGTATGGAATGTGGAAACAATTTTTGATATGGCGACAGTGCAACCTGCATCTACACATGAACACCCAAAGCCCCCGATTAAAACAACTGTAGAAATCTGAAAAGCCTCAAATAGCCATACTTCCAACTACGTCGTTGTCGATGCGCGTTCGGCAGAGGCCGAAGCGCTTCAAAACCAGAATGCCCACATGCGTATGCCAGCAAGATGTAGTGGTCATTCTGGTTGATAGTAATATTGCATCGTATAATGAATAATACAGTTGTTAAAACCCATGACGAAGTGATGATGCGAGCGAAACTCCTGCCACATCTGTGGATGTGCCGCAGCAGTTGGGCATGATGCCTGGGCGTCGCAGTTGAGAACAAACTTGCTCCAAGCCGAACCCTGCGTAATTTTCTCATTGGGGAATGTCAGTGCGACAAGCCCCTCTTGTGGTACACATCATCATGTCTTGCCTACTGCGAAGAAGGATAATCAAACACAGATCTTGGAATTCAGCTTTCATTCAGGATGTAAATATTCATGCATTCTCGGTATGAACTTCGTGCAATCTTCCTGCTCATGTAGGCATATAATGACAAACGGCCCTCTACTTGCCGGCAAGCCATGTTGTGGTGCGTTCCCTTGCTACTTAGCATATCAAAACGGCCCAGAGGTCAAAACAGCCCTTGTGACCCCTTCTACTTCCGATATCAGCCCATTAGGAGTTCATTATTTATACACCGCAAAACCCGATTCCACTGAACCCTATGTTAGCGCCCAAGGAACGCTGGAGGGTCGGATCCTCGGGTCCCAAGATCAGGAGGCCCATCTGCAACATGACCTCAGCGGCTTCCGGCTGGAACAGATGCAGGGCTTCAGGCTTATAAAGGTTTCGTGCTTCGGATTCAAGGTTTTATAAGTCTATTACCCAGAGTACCGCTGTGATGCTCGCTCGCCCTGGGTTCTGCTACTCTTCCACAGTTCCCGCTAGATTTCCCAATGTACATGTTTTGCAGACCATACCGACACATACGGAACCGTGCATCCTGCGATCGACACCCCGAGACTTGAAATTCGCTACTTCAGATTTCCCAAAGGCTCAAGTCGACGGGTGAAAAAAAAGAGGTTCCATCGGTCGCGCTTGGGGGACAGGATTACGGAGAGAAGGCTTGCTCGAATTCAATGGCCCTGACCACAGCAGGCTGCTGTCCCCCTTCGCCGCAGGCTCAAACTTGTTACCGTCAATCGATGTCCCATGTTGCATGCGAGGAGTTCCCCAATCTGCATTAATTACGTTGTTGCGTAAGACCACCTAATGGACCTAACGAATATGGGCAGCGACAGCGGCAAGAAGAGCACGAGGATCACAACAATCATCCCAATCACATCAAGGACATTAACTATTCCGCATTCGCCGACATATGTAAGCAAGCGCATACATGCTGCACAAACCAGCTCATACGTATGACAAAGCAGAGCAACCCGGCAGCAAGACTCAGTGCTTAGACTTAGGCTTAGGATCCCTTCTCAAACTACAATGACAATGACAAATCGGGGTTGGATGCCAGGTCAACACAAGGATTGAAGCTCTTCAGGATGCTGGCGTCGTATTTCAAAAGCGTCTGAATTCTGAATCCCATGAAAGTGACGAGAAGCAGCTTTCCAACCAATTTTAAGTCCTACAAACGACCCTCAAGCTGTAAGTTCACCTGAAACCCTTTGCATAGTAGCCCTGAACAGAGTGCCCCTAACACTCAACCCTAAGTGACGACTGCTCAGCATCCCACGAAGTAGGCCATGCCATGATCCGAGATGTGGGTCACTCCTGGGAAATTCTTGCCGAGTCTTCAAACCCGTGAAAGGACACCCGCCAAGCCACCCCGCACTCCATAAAACAAAACAACAACTTTCGAGCTCTGCAAGCATGCAACCTCTTACCCCATGCAATGGCAGGACATCCTCTTTTCAACAAACCCAAGCAACCCAAAATCTGACAGTAAAGCTTCACGGGCTCTGAAAGTTAAAGGCTTTTAGACTTAAGGAGGTTCGAGGTTATTGTTCTTCAGGGTTTAAGAGGCTAAGAGTTCAAGGCTAAAGGGGCGAAGGAGAGATTAGGCATTTCAATGTGCTGTCTTCAAGAGTATATCTGGTTTTCAATCGTCATCCAGGGGCCATAGCAGTTCGAGTAGGGTTTCATGAACTAGAAGGAATACCTTTTACTACATTGTTCTGGCCGCAGAAGTCCCGATGCAGCTAAACAGGGTTTAGGACTTTCAGGGTTTGGGGTGTAGGTTCGGGCCAAGGTGCTATAGGTGGCATCGCTGCATACTGGACCTTCCAGTGAGGTTCCCACCCGATGTTGATCACAGTAGTGGTAGATGCCGCAGATCACCGCCTGCTCTTCAGGGCTTTTTGGGGCTTTGGCATTGCGCTTCGAGGATTTGCGGGTTTGGGAGAATGTGTGCTTCAGCAATACTGATGTCAACCTTCCTCCAAAGCCAAAAGCCTGAAATCGGTGTGAGGTTTCAGCACTTGACGGTGCCAAATCCCTGGGCCTGCGCGGCAAACAGGAAACCTGAGACGAGATGTTGGTTTAGAGTTTGAGGAGTGAGGTATAGGGACTTAGGATCCAGAGCTCTCGGGTGAGGATGTCTGGTCTTTGGCTCATGGCGTAGAGTGTGGGGTTGTGGAGTCTTTCTGAAGCGCCGGAACTTCACAGTGTATGTGGAGGCTTGAATTAGCCAGATTTGGGTCATCTCCATAATCTAAATCATGAAGCCTAGGATAGGCTCCGAAGCACTCCTAAATCCCTTTCATTCAGTGAGGCTCCTCACGCTATCCTGGGGTCCCTTGAGAAAGGGCAATTATATCGCGACGAACATCGTGTTGTGCAGCATTTTGTTGGGCTCCCTGGCTGGGACCATTAAGCACGACACCGCTCCCCACCGATTTACAGGCTATATAGCTAGGCCTCACATGGTTCTTACAATTTCCAGGGTTATACAGGCATAAACATTTCGGGTTCGCGGCTTTTGAACTGTCGATCCCGGGGTGCAGGGTTTCGGGGGTCCAAGGCTCGGAGAAAGGATTCCGGCTCTTCCGGGCCATTCGGCTGGGGCTTAGAGGGCTTTTGAGTCTTCTACTTGTCTTTCAAGGTTTACGGCCTAGGACTTGAGGCTTACTTAGGGTTTGGGTTTTTTGGGGCTTCAGCTTGAGGTTTGGGGCCTGGGCGGGCTTTTTCGAATCCGGATTCTTGGAAGTCCCGCTGTGCGTGACTCTTCGAGTCTGATGCGCTTGGCGCCGAGAGTTTCAAACGTGGCATACGGACAGGGCATGGGTTAGCCATGGCCCTCCAAGGAAAGACACAGAGGAAAATCATGAAGCTTTCCTAAAAAGTACGTGCTTGTTGTCAAGGTGCTGCTGTAGGTGAATCCTCAAACCTTTCATGGGAGTAAACTAGATGATTCTAACTACGATTTTTGTTGCAGGTCCTCCGCTTGAAACAGGTACCTCGCTCTCTGTCCCGAGTGCTTCTCACGACCGTGTTATCATGAACCCAACCAAGGAAGGCTACCATGTAACCCAAGGGGAACACTCAATCTAGCTGCTGCTAGCTCGTCCGCAGAACCCACGTTTTCAATCATCCCTGCATGGACAAATTCATGATTCATGGGGTGGCTTCCTGTACCTTCAAGGAAAAGGTGTGTAGTAGCACGTAGTAGGGCACGAGGGCCTCAGCAGTTCTGATGCGCTTGGATGTCATGTTGCCACCTTTAGATTCCTCGTGGTAGCTGCCGTGCACTGAATGATCCATTCTCCTCCAGATCTTTGACTGTGCATTTGCTGGTCTACAAGCATGGCTTTGACGGCCACACGTGGCGCAAACGGCCTGCTCCCATTCGGGAAGTCTCAGATCCGCACAAAGAATTCAGAACGCTGGAGCTACTTGTCACTCCGCATGCGTAATTAAAAGGCTAAGCGGCCGAAACGATGTGGGAGTCTCTCAAAATTGTGGGCCTTGGGATCTTCCGTTGGGTTCCCTCAGTTCCGGACACTCCCACAATAAGCCATGCCAAAGAAACCAAGGGGAGGCCGAAAAGGAGTGCAACGCACTGCCCTTAAATATCCAAGGCCCCCAAAACCCAAAACTCCAAAATCCCGCGCCCAGGCGGGTCCTGAAGCTGGCTCACCTTAGCTGGTCCAGTTCATGAGCGAAAATAAAGGACAATATGCAGGTTATACGGTTATACAAGCTCCAAAAAGCTTCGAACGATTGAAAATAGCTATATAGCGGGTTTGAAACAATCCGACACAGTTGCAAACTGATCTCCTGAGTCACCTTTCACTGTTTTGGCTCGTGCGCCGGCCGGCGGAGGATTTTGGCTTCTCCTTGTCCTTCTCTTGCGACTCGACACTTTGCAAGACCTCGGAAGTTTCCAGCACATCAGGGAGCCGGCTGCAATCTTCAGCGTAACGGACTCCCAAGCACGACGAGCTTGCGGGGCGTCAGGGGTTTCAGGGTTTGGGCAATCTCTGACTGATGTGGAGAGGTCCTGAAGTCCCCACCTTCTCCAATCCGGACTCGACGCGGCTCACGTTCTCGCCTTGGTTGCAGCCAACGCATTGAGCTTTTGTGGCTTCGAGGGAAGATACAGAAACGAAAAGGTCAGCTAACTACGAGTATTGCTGAGATGCAGGCATCATAAGGGGAATTTGTATGGGCTTCTGAGACTAATCCCGCGTAGGTTCATTTCAAGAGTCAAACCTGCACTCCCAAATTGAAACCCGCCTTAAACCTAGAACCGCAAAGCCAGTTCCAATCCCAGACTCAGTCGCTCGCGGGATATTACAGCAAGAAGGAACCCCTATCAGCTCTGTTTGCCTTACCTATCCCTGACGGGACTATTGAAAGAAGACTGCCTGACATTCAACCAGTAGACCTAAACCCTAAACCCCAAAAGTCCCAACCCAAAAATCCCAAGGTAAGTCGCTTAGTGAGCTGGTCCACTCGCCGACCTTCTCCTGCAGAGACGCGGCAGATGCGGACTGAGCATCCTTGAGCGCGGTGAGCTCTTCCCGCAAGAGCTCCCCAAGCTGCCTCGTAGTGTTTTATAAAACACTACAAACACTACTGTTTTATAAAACACTACAGGTCATAATCAACACTTCCCCAAAGGGTCCAAGCAACAATATGGTATAATATGCTTTGGGCCACAAATATCTACTATTACTAAGAGCCTACTATATTGGTACATGGACCCTTTGGGATTTAAGGATCTGCGGAATGGAACGCTTTAAGAGTTTCAGGAGGTATCCTACCCCACGTTGCCTTGGGTTCCAACGCCCCTACGAAACAGAGACTGAAGCAAGTATCCTAAAACTCTATGACTCCATGGTTTAGTCTAACATAAGCCCTTGCACAATGGCTCCACAGTTGGGCTTCTTCGAGGAGTCTGAACCCGACACCCTACTCTAGACCCTGAACTCTACACGCGAGATCCCTAAACATCAACATTTTCAAGCCCTACACCCTAAACCTTGAACCCTGAACCTCGAAGTCTGCGAGGTTGCTTCTAGGCAGGCCGGGATGCGTGTGGCTTTCCTGCCCGTTGTCCCGCTGCTGTGTTGCAAGTGCCAGAGTCACTGCCTCCAGCTCCCGCTTGATGGTCTCCTTTACGGCGGGGTCTATAGGCTTCCACACAAGGAGGGGTTCCCTTTCAGGGCGCCATATGGGATCCAAAATAGTAGGGTCTCCTTGAAATGCTTAGAATGGAAGCGTCGGGCGCAAGATGAGGGCAACGACCATCACAGCAACGATAGTACTTCGGAGTGAGGCTTGTTTGTTCCAGTACCACTGATGGTACCATTACGACTACGACCAAGACGGCGACGACGAAGACGGCGAAGACGACGACGACAAATAAAGCCAGGGATGGTGATATTACTAGAGCAGGAACAACGCCAGGAACAAGTAATGCCTGACAGCTGTAAGAACAAGATTCAATTTCAACGCATTATGAATGTTATACTACCAGCAATGGTGCTTTTGAAATTCAACTACGGCCACATACGAGACAGCTCCATTGAAGGAGCATTCCGGGAAATGCTGGGTCGAGCCTCTGCTCTACAAGCGCCTTACTTCTTCGCCCCCTCCTCCACGTCCACAGCCGCCGGGGCATTCGCCTGGCGGCGCAGATGCCCCGAACGGCTCCATGCACATAGCTACAGCACGCCCAAAGAAATCGTATAGAATAACTGCAAACAAAAGCGTATGATATGAAGACATCCGGATTTTTCAGGATAAAAGCCAAATAACCTCTGTTGGTTTTTGGAAGCTTAGCATCGCTGCAGTACCTCTGTAAGACCTCCATGAATCCTGCAACCCGGTCCTCACAAAGCCCATTATCTGGGTCTTTATGGGTCTGTATAGAGGTCTGGAGATGTGACTGACCCCATAGAAAGGGAGCCGGCAAGTACCCAATGAAAGGGTTTAACAGAAGAAGCCCCCAATCTCCGACGACTGTAGGGTATCAGATGAGCTGGTTCAGAATCTTGAAGGGGCCAGGAATGCCTCAGTCCTAAGCGAGAACCCCATTATTCTTGGAGTCTCGCAGAACTCCAAGAACTAAGGGCGCTTTAGCCAACATTGGGAACTTCCATTGAATGATTTCAATGATTTCGCTCTCGGACGAAACTAAGGAAGCACAGCATTTAATCGAGGAATACATGTTAAAGTTGAAATGGATACACAGTATAATTCAATCCAGCTAGAACCTGAATATGACGACTTGGTGTTTTTTCGTAAAATGGTGCTCGATCCATCTCCTGAGGACTTTGCCGCAGATTTCTCAATTCAAGGGCTTTTTATCAACTTAGTTTAAGGCTTCTCGGATCTTCATTAGCTCAAGCTTGAGGTGTACAAACCAGTTAGTAGGTCGTGGTGTCCCAAAATCCTCTTGGGAAGAAGGGGTCGCCGTTGTTATGCTCGAAAAAGGCTCGTCGAACCTAGACAGACCCCGGGAGGATCCATACAAGTAGATCCTGTCAAAGGAGCTTAGGGTCTTCAAACAGCGGCTCTCGAAACCTAAACCTTACTTGCCTTTGGTTAGTAGGGAATGGAAGAATGGTAGTAATAGTAGTGATAATTGTACCCCATTCCTCCATTCCCTACTAACCAAAGGTAAGCTAAACCTTAGCCCCCGCCTGGCTCAGCTCCAAGCGCTCGGCGCTGGCCTCGAGACGATTCGCCATGCTGGACACCAGATCCTTCAGCAAAGGAGTTGATAAAGGGCTTTCCGGGAGCTACAGGGGTCAGGCGAGTAAAACGTTCCGAAGGTTTTTTGGAGGTTTTTCGGTCCGTTCATCTATTGTCTACGCTTGGAATGAGGTTGAGGTTTAGGGTTTGGGTATAGGTCTCCCAAGGTCGTCGGCTTTGAGCTGTAGGTCAGCATCAGTTGTGGGCTTAGGTGTGTGCGGGTCCCTTTTGGGGGGGGGTCTTTTAGACTCACTGCTCCAGTTCAGGGTCCATCTTTCGATGTCAGTATAAGGCTTAGCGCATAGAAAAGGGTGTCTTCGTTGAAGAGTCAGACTGGAAGCATACTTCAAGGTTCGACGGGCATAGCAAACACGATGACAATGAAGACTTCGTGCCGGACTTCGAGCACTTCTGACCCTCCCCCTTACTAGCCATGAACCCCAAGTAAGCAACCCTGAACCCTAAACCTAAAAACCGACATGAAGAACCCTGGACCCCACAACCCAAAGTACGAGCCGCAAACTAGGACTGCACAATCCAGGTAGGGGCTTGAGAATTAGAATCTCGTTTCGTGCAAATGATATTTTGAATTGTGAGGAAAGTCGGGAACCATGAGTGCGACTGAATCACCAACCGTATAAAATCCCTATACTAGGGTTACTAGGGTTTTACGGTTTAGGGTCCCTATACGGTGTCCTTCAAATTCAGTCCCCGATCGTCGTTGCTCTCTTCGCCCAGGAGGGACTCTTTCAGCTTCCCTGGGCGTTTTAAGAGTTTTCTTCGGCAATGCAGGGGTCTACCCTAAGTCCTGAACCCGCGACTGGCAGCACTACTCTTTGGAGGATTTCCATCAGAAAACTCACCAAACTCCACTCTATGTCTACGGTTTCTTGAGCTTGGCATGCGGTGCAGAGAATAATGTAGAACCGGCCCCCAACCCCCCGCCTTAGTTTTCGGATCCCGATCGTAGTCCTTATCAAGTGCAGGAGGTCCATTGACAAGGGTCTGCAGTACTGCTGTAATTCTGGAGCCCCCGATCCACCCAAAGGCTGAACTCACAGAACCCCATTTTAAGTGGCGAGGCCTGGCAAGTAGAATCCAGAAAGCTGGATCAGTGGCACCGATCAGCCTCCACCCGTGTACCAACTGTTAAGAAAAGCTGACGGTCGCAAGCCAATTAAATCCCAAATTACAATCCCAAGATCTGGCTGGGATCCCATCGTGCCGAACCGCAACAGGCCATCATAGCCCCGAACTTCGCGATCCAGCCTATAAGCCCCAGCAAAGCCACCACTCCTTCCGGTTTGGAAGGGCGGTTATTGATCTACACCCGAAGAGCCCTGAAGCCTACCAGAAACCCGAAAAGCTTTCTTCTATTCCTAAACCAAAGTCCTCCCGACCACGGGCCCCGTACCCCTGACTTTGAGGACGGTTCCCATCACGGGCACTGATCCAAGGTATGCCCACAAGCTCCCGAGAACCGAGCCTTAACCTCCTTATGCCTCAGCCCGATCAACCCCTGAGCTCGAAAAGCCGCCACAGCACTACAAGTTGCAGGCGCTCAACATGTAAAAGCTGTCCGTCCGGCTACCTCTGACCCCATAGCCATAACCGTTGTAAAACTTCGACAGTGAGCCGACTATATGAACCGTACTGAAATCTGGAATAGGATCCTTGAGGGCGAACTTACAGATCAGTTTTCCGCCCAGAGGCCCATCTGCCGAAAGAGCACCTCTCGCACGGATGTCTCCAGCTGGGCTGCCGGATCGCGCCTCATTCTGGTTCCCACATGAAGGTACAGCACAACAGCGCCCGCAATGAAAAAGAAGCCCTACAATGCTAAAAATTCGGGGTTTCTGGTTCAGGGTTTGAGCTGAGACTTTCGTGTCTGCTCTGGTGTTCTTGCTTGCCCAAGACTTGACGGCATCAGGGCTTTACAGCGGGCTTACCACCTTCGTTTGGGAGTTCAGGGCTGTGGGTGTAGGGCTTGGGGATTTGGGGTTTAGCCCGCAAGTTCCCCACTTGGGGGTTGGTGACTGCGGGTTGATGATTTACCCACGGCCTCATCTTTTGTCAAGGGCCTTCCGTGCTTAGGGAGTTCAGGGTCCGGAGTCTGAGGATTGAAGGTTGAGGCTTTCGGGTAAAGGGGTCGCCTTGCAAGCGATCGGGGTTCAGGCTCGGTGCTTTTGGAAGTTCGAGGGATGTCGGGGGTTCAGTTCAGGCAGTTGAGGTTCGCGTGTTTAGGGCCAAAGCATCCCGGGCTTACGGAATCTAAGGAACTGATAGACTAAGAGATGCTCAACCTCGGGACGACCAACGGAAGCACAGGGAGCTGCGAGCGGAACTAGACCCTGAGCCCGAGCACGAAACGCTGAAACTTAAAATCTTATCTGTAGCCGTAGCCCACCAGAACCTGGCTTCTTCGGGCTCCTTATCACGCATTCCTGTTCCGACAAATAGGAGGTCTTTCGGGGGCTCGTTGCAGGTACCCCAAGTGAAGTATCAGCGGAGACCCAGTGGGTGGCTCCAAGTACCGTTCGGAGGGTAGCCCCAGCTAGAGTTCGCAGATTCGCACCAGCCAAGCCCTACGGCCCGAAATTCATTCTCAACGAGTCGGAGTATTTCAACTGCTTGAATCAAGCTAAACACCACGACTGCAGCTTACCCTCCTCTGCGCCCCGAAAGCAGAAGCCCTAAACAACAGATAGAGCCCCAAAACCCTCTTCACATGAAGCCTTGAGTCCCAAATCGCAGGGAAGACGCAAGAGCTCTGCCCGGGTGAAGTTCTGAATGCATTCCAGGCCTGCAAGGGTGGGTTTACCGCTTGAGACTGATACGTCAGGATTTGGGGAACAGGGCCATAGAATTTTTGGAATAGTGCTCTAGGACTTGGGGTGTAGAGTATGGGCTATAGGCTGCCAGGCTTCTGTCGATCATTCCTTCCAGTTCATCCGTTTCGATTTCTTGTGCTGCTGCAAGAGGAAAGGAAAGTGGAAGGACCCGGTTGGAGGCTGAGGATGGATGGGATTCAAGGACTGGCTCTCTTGAGGGGATCCTTGCGGTTTGAACCTGTTGAAAGGTATGCGTAAGTTTCGGGGGGAAGCTTAAAAGAACAGATTGAAGGCCAACTGCGACCTTAGAGCTTCAAAGACTTGCTTGAAACCCGGAGGCCATGTGCACCACGAGCCTTGGACGCTCCAAGCGAAGCCCTACGTTCGAGGTCTTCAACCCGGAATGTCTACACGCTCACTTCGCGGTTCTTCGCGCAGACTCCCATGCAGTAACCCCAAAGGGTCCCTTTAAAAGTCTCTTGAACCCGTTCGAATCCTGACTGTGGCGGCCAGGCGGCTTTTCTGGATCGTTTCTTGCGTCCCGTTCAGGATGTCCATGATCATAATGCTGTGCCTGGAGTACCCCGAAACCACACACCGGTCACCGGATGTCCAGTGCAGCCCCATCATGTAGGAGTGGGTTCGCTAATGAGGGAGCAATCTCGGGTTTGGACATTGGAGTGCATGAACGGCTTGGCTCTGTTGCGACTTGCAAGGGGTAGCATTTAGAAAATGCCAGAAATTAGCCATACAAATCCGATCCAACTTAAGGACCACCGGGCTCGCCGGGGGAGCCCAGGACTTGAGGCCTCCGGATGTCCGTCACCCGATCTTCCTGAACCGTGGCAGATCTCTGCACCTCGCAGCGCATGGAGGTGCGTGCAGCGGGCTTGGCTCCAGGGCTTTCAGGGTTTAGATTTTCACTATCTCTGGGTTTGTAGTGTTTGAGGTGTTTGGCCAGGCATATCAAACATTTACGGTTGTGGGTTTGGGCTGGGACAGGAAGCTGTGGGGCTGACGGCTCAGATCGGTTCTAAAGTTGATGGGCGCGATCTTGCAATAGCTTGAGTATTGCATGCAGCGGGAAGCATCGCAAAACCCCTGCTTTGCACAAAATGCAGAACAGCGACAAACATCCTCAAAAACCATCGGAAACCATATCTCCGACATAACGTCGTTTAGAGCATACAGATTTGTTTACAAGGGTTCTTTGTTCTGCTAATCTTTTAACTAAATCCCTGATCCCCGCTCAAGAGAATCAAAAAGCTTCAAATAGGGAAGGCACCTTCGAACAAATGAACCCAGTACCCTTTTTTTTGGAGCTTCAGCAAACAGATCACTAAGGAGGAAACCTAAACCCCCACACTCCCTAACTAAAACTGAAACTGCAAACCCTGAAGCACAAATCCCAACCTGTGATGAAGTAATATACGCTAAATATCCTATTAAAGTATAGTAGGACCCCTAACATGATTGAAGGTACATTCTTTAAACCCTGTAACCCTCTCCATAGGTTGGTGCCTTTTCCACGATGCTCGTCCCCTGGTCCGACAGCGTGGTGAGATCTTCACGGAGCGACCCAAGCCTTCTTCCGAGGGAGTTTAGGATTCGGGGTTTCGATTTTCTGTTTTAGGCCTTGGGGCTCTAAAGGGTTTTGGGGCTCTAAAGGGTATTGGGGCTCTAAAGGGTATTGGGGCTCTAAAGGGTATGGGGCTTGGGCCTTAAACATACTTACCTTTGCTCCAGTTCCTTTCAATTACCATGGTTTGTACCTTGTTTCGGAGGGGACTTTCTTAAGATGCTTCTGGGACTTACCTCGTATGTACGTAGGATTTGGAGGTTTGGACTTTGGAGTTTTTTTGGCCGAGAAACAGTTTGGGGGTCGAAGGGTTTCAGGACGTGGGTTTTCGGAGCTTGTGTTTTGGGATGTAGGTCTGGGTCTTAGGGACTTGTTCTGTCTACATTCGAGGTCTCGGGGTTGAAAACTCTCCGATAACCGTCCGAAATTTTGACCTTACACTCCAAACCCCCATGCCTACGTGGCATACACCTCGGCCGCCATCAAGTACGTTAAAGATCAACCCGAGGCTGTAAACAGCCAATTTGACGCCGCCTTTCCGATGATGACTGATGATTGCGTCTGGTCTTCTGCAGTTTGATGTCCAGGCCATGCACGTCATGCGTTCAATGCCAACTACGTGCAAGCCCCCAATGCCCACCCGTTGAGAACCATGGACCCTTAATGCCGCCAAGTCCTGCTCCTCTTAGGGGGGAGCCGCAGAAGGAGCCTACCCTACTAGACTTCCAATCTATCCTGCAGGCTCTAATTACAGGTTCCTCGGCATTTGTAGGCAGGGATAATATAAGTATCCGAGCTGGGCTCATACGTATAACTTTGTAGCCACCTTAGCCATGCTTGCTATGCACCCCCATGCTTTAAGTAGAGTTGTCCCCCTGGTGACCACCAACACTGCGGAAGAGTGGCAGCTTCTCGGCGGAGTCGGTGCAGCACTTTGTAACGGACTCCTTGTCGGCAAGGCCAAGTATGAGGTTTGAGGGGGCTTCATCAGGGACGTGTGCCAAAGGGTCGAAGCGTTAAGTAGGTGTGTAGGACACAAATTAAGTTGAACGGGGATGGAGTCTAGCGGAGGCAAGTCGTGAATCCATGTAGTACACCTCTCAACCTCATCCCGAGAACCCAAAAACCAAAGCTCCAAGCCTAAGCCCAAACCGTGAATCTTAAACATAACACCCTACGCCCCAACACCCAACACCCCTCATCACTCAACCGACGAAACATAACACGAGCCACCCAATCCCCCCAAACTATAATTCCTGAACCCTAAACCCTAAACCCTAATCCCTGAAACCCTAAACCTCTATACCCGATATACCCTGAAACCCTGAACTCCTAAACCCTAAATCCTGAAACCTTGAAATCCCTAAAGCCTGAACCCTGAAACCTTGAAATCCTAAACCCTAAACCCTGAAACCTTGAATCCCTCAACTCTGAACCCTGAAACTTCTGAAATCCCTAAAGCCTAAACCCCGAAAAAGCTGAACTTAAATTATCTCTCGGCCTCGGTCTCGATCAGCTTGCGCCTCAAAGCACCTAAGCTCTTTCAGCACAACCTGAGAGAACGGTGTAATATAGGGGCCTTCATAATTAGAGTAGGGCTCCTTCAAAGGGGTCTCAAAGGGATCTGAAAAGGGGCCTTCATAATTTTCATTATACTCACGTTATAATAAGGAAACCCCAACATAGTATAGGTAATGATTAAGGCTCCTCCAATAGGGTTCCCGTTTTGACGCCCGCCTAATCTTCGGGTTCAGGGTTTACATGCTTTGGTAGTTCTGGCGAAGTAGTCGGGGCTGAGGCTTTGAATCAAGGTAATAAGGGCTTTGAAGCCAAAGAGAATAGACATATCTATAGACTATATATATATATATATATATATATGTGCGCACACACACACGCACACACACACACACATGTACCACTGAGCAGCCTAGGTGCCGTCAATATCCATAAGCTGGCGGCTGGTCGTATCGTGGCCATCGGCAAACTTCTCCTGGGCCGCACGGTGTATGATTCTTGCGCTATCGATTTGGGGTTTGGGTTTTAGAAGTGCATGATCAAGGGTTAGGGTTCAGGATAAGGCTAATGGTTCAAGGTGTAGGGCTGAGAACTCCGGGTAGGGGTTTGGGGCCTAGAGATCAGGATTTCGAGTGTGGGGTTTGGGCGGCCTTCGCCCGGCCGCTTGACTTATTAGAAGCATTTAATTAGTCATGTAGTTTGGGTTTCGGACGGGGGTTTAATGTTCAGGGTTGTTGAGGAATCAGAACACTGGGCAAGCAAGGATATATTGGAAGTGGTTTAGGCTCTAAACTTCAAGCGGCATTCGAAACTCCGCTCTCGCAACACTCTGAGCTGTCCAGTTTCCTGCGGGTGTAACGGAGTATAACATCTACAGTTATCCTAAGCATTTGTGGGGGATCTGCCTCCCCTGCACAGGTTAGAGGCTACGTAATTTAACCCACTACCATGATAGAAGTGTACCTACCCGATCACCTGATCCTCCGAATTCAGGACCTTCCATCTGCCCCAGAAAGTAGGAGCCAACAGCATCCAGTAGGGTTTCCGGTTCGGTGGAGATCTTCGGGTTTTGGGATCTCAGGTACAAGGCCTTAGGGTAGGGGCCTGCATCAATCCCTCTGTCACAGCCACACTCACACTAAAGCAAAAGCCAGAAAGTTGGAATATGATTATCGTAACCCTTCTATGGTAAACTATAGGGTATCCTACCATGAAACCATATTCCAACTTTCTGGAGTTCCCTTTATACCATTTTGCCGGGCTGCCGCCATGGAGGTCTGAGTCGTCGCGACACCCTGGAGAAGCACATGCGACTCCTCAGAGAAGCTTGGTAGGAAAGCGGAGGTCATTCCGCTGGTGAATGCTTTCCCAAATCGGTTCAAGGTCATTTTCATAGCACAGTCGCGTTTAGCTGCTTTGCCACAGTAATCTTGTCTTGCACTTTTTGGGGGAGATGTATGATCTATTAGAGGCCTGGCAGGGCACAATAGAGGGCAAACTGAAAAAGGAATCTGCTGAATCCCAACTCCAGAAAGCCACAGCAACAAACGACTCCCGCACACAAGACCTCATGAACTTGAGGAACATGGGGAGAACCCTCCCGCAAGAAGGCTGTGCCTGTTCTTTCACGATGGAAACCCTTTAAGGCTCATCAGCAGATGCAAGGGAGCCAACCCTTACCCCCACCATTTTCTGAGCCCGTCCTACATCTTGCAGATCCCAGGCGCATGCGACTGCTTTAGGAGGTCCTGTTGTGTAGAATCAAGCTTCTGCAACCTGGAAGAGACGAGCTTGGAAGTCCGAGTCAGGGCTAAGGGAGAGCTTCCGCTTTCGGGGATTATACAGGATTAGGTAGTTCAGTAGGGGTTATGTTGCCGGTAGCCTACAGCCTACACATATAAAAGGTCTCCCTTTGTCTTCCCTTGAAGGTAGACCCCTCCAGAACCTGAACCCTTCCTAAGACTTAAGAGACGCGGCTCCGGCGTCTAAGGCAAAAGGCGGTGGCTTTCGCTTCTTCTAGCGGGCTTCGCGGGGGGGTTCCAGGGTTCGGGGTGGTTGGCTTGATGTCGTGTTGCCCTTTAGTGAGGTTTAGGTCAGCGTTTAGGTTTGAAGCTTTCATGAGAGTGCTACAAGCTCAAGAAACTCTGTAAGCTTTATAGCTGAATCTGTTTAGTTGCGTGAGTTGTTCGCTGGCACCATTCCTGGTATCGAGGTTCGACAGAGTCCACATCAAACAACGAGTCTTAGTGCATCTCCTGGCCCAAACATAGGATGTTTGTCTAGTCGCTTGGGGCATGATTTGGTTGGCTTGAGCTGATTTAGCGTATCAGTGTTCGCTGTTGACGACCCTAGAGCAGAAGACTTACACTGCCGTAGTCTTGACCCGAAGCACAAAGCCGCCCTAAAACTTGAACTCACGTTGATACCAGGGCAAAGGGGCAAAGACAGTTGATACCCGAATGTGACTTCCGCTGAAGATACTCCACAGTTCGCAAGACACTGTTTTGGCTTACCAGGACATACTTCGAGCCGAATCACAGCACGTTGGAGGACGTGTTCACGGTGTCCACAAGAGCCTGTTTGGTGCTGTCCTGCATGTGGCTTGAAGGTCTCGTCTGCCACCCCGTCTGTCCGGAGTTCAAGGTTTGAGATAAGACTCCTGATCTGGTTTGATGGTTGCCTCTTGGCTGTTGCCATGTCAGCAGTATCAGTCTTAATTAATCATTCCATCTCCCTTGAAGTGCTGCAGCAAAGTATCAACGCTGATAGTACTGCCATGTTGTCCTGGTCCTAATCATTAACGCTGCTAGTGCCGATGTGATGGCAGTTATTGCTTAAGCTACAATGCTGTCGGTGTTTTTGTCTGCTCTCTCTATCTCAATACCGTAGGTGATGTTTCTCAAGTTGGACGCGAGCCGTTGGAAGAAACACCCCCCACCCCCAAACAGGAAGCACCTTAACCATAACTTCATGGTATTTCTTCCTGAGCCTTAGCACGGTAAGATGTGTTGCAGTCCGTGCTCAGCCCCGCGGTCCTGCACGCCCGTGATGAAGCTGTGCAGGCTGGAGTAGGAGGTTGACAACTGATCCTCGTCTCGGCACTTCCACCGCGGCAACGGTACTAGTATTGGCAGAAGCACAACTATCAGAAACTAGCAGTTCAGGCAGTAGAAGCAGTAGCAGGAGCAGCAGCAGCAGCTGCTGCAGCGGCGGCAGCCGTAGCAGTAGCAGCAGTCGTAGTCGCAGCAGCAGGAGCGGGAGCAGGAGCAGGACCAGCAGCAGCAGCAGCAGCGGCCGTTGCTGTAGCAGTCGTCGTCGTGGTGGTGGTGGCGGTGTGAGCAGCAGCAGCAGTAGCAATTTATACCTGAACACAAAAACACCAACTGATGACAAGCAAGCCCACACACATCGTATGTTCAGCCTGCGCAACCGGCACACTTCTTGCCAAAGCGCGCTGAGGCAAGGAGTTTGAAGCTTAAGCCCCATAGTTCTCCAAAACACCACTAAAATTGTGGGGCCTCAATCCCCGAACTGTATCCACAACGCACTCTTCTCAAGAACAATGCAGGGACATCATAACAAAGGAGCCATAACAATGCAGGTGTTTTGGGCTACCCCGTATCGTCCGCGGTTGATGTTATTATGAAATGCCCGAAGTGCTGAGGGCACAAAGCCCCAATCGACTGAGTCGAGCATCCCAAACCCCCATTAAAGACAACAAAAGATGCCTCCAACCATACCGGGATACTTGAGTTGGATGTTCCTTAAAAATTGGACTGTGCAGTCTCTCTTGGCGGGTCGAGCCACCATGCTCGCCTTCTGTGCATCCACCTTCCTTGGCCCGCAATGGCAACACAGTATGGCAACACTTCACTTGTTCTGAGTGGGGCTTGAAAGACTTGAAGGTTCCAAGCTGATGGTACTTCTGGCACGAATGCTGATTTGTACCTTATTTAACGTCTTTCTCTGAACACCCTCAAGGGTTTTCGGGGCTTCCAGATTCAGCGGCCAGTTGCAAGCAGTCCCAAAAAGATCAAGGATCCTGGTCTCAAGAGACGCTTCAGGGTTTATGGTTGTGCTGCATGCTTTTGGTGGCAACCTTGCTCTGCACTCTGCACATCTTTTCAGAGCGCTGGGAGTAACCGGCAGCAGGTTTCAGGAGGTAAGCTGTCAGGGGCTGGCAGAAGCAGCAATGCCCTAAACCCGATGGACCCAGAATCACATGACCAGGCTTTAGGTTTCCGCGCTACCGTTTCCAGCTTGGGGGTTCTAGTTCTCGTCCGAGTGACTGAAGCATCGCCTCCTGCGCAGAGTCCAGCTTGTGCCTCACTCGGGCTCATGTTTAGGATGCCGGGCAGGATTGTCGTTATTGGTATGATCTGAAGGGCAACCTTGCACATGGAATCACCTAATGTCGATGGAAGCGTAACGTGTCCTGACGTAGGCTTACGAGTGATCAGGGTTGTCAGAGCTGAGCTCAAACAGACAGTTTCTTGGGTGCCGTACAGTGCTCGGTCACGCAATACAAGAAAAGGCTGCAACCTCTCGTGATAGGTGGGGTTGGTTCGGGAATAGGCTTCCGTGCTCTGAGACTTAACCCGACTCCCGAAAGCTGACAACAACTCGGGAACCCAAACACCCTCAAACCGCAAAACTAACGCCATGGCCGCTCAGCTGCAAGAGTACTTGGCAAGCGTTGACAGTCCTTAGGTGAAACATCACATGCTCTGAAATCCCAAACACTTCGGGTAATAGTCCAGTGATCGCGAAGTACCGTGCAGCTGCTCAAGAAGGTAACGCACACATAATATGTACATACATGTATAAACATACATATGTATATGTATATGTATATGTATATGTATATGTATATGTATATGTATATGTATATATATATATATATATACATATGTACATACATATATACATATATATATATATATATATACACATATACATACATATATATATATATAGACATATATGTATATATATATATATATACATATGTATATATATAATTATATGTGTATATGTGTATTCGTTATGCAGGCCCACATACTATATACGATATTCAACCCGCGACATGCAGTCTCATGGATACAGGGTCGAATCCTTGGTGTGAGGTTGTGGCATTGCGGTGCTCAGATATTCTGTCAACATATATGGAGCTTTCAAGTGGAACACAACAAAACCCTTAAACGAGGATTTTAAACCGACGACATCCTCAAACCCACTAAACTTAGGATCGCTAAAGTATACCAGGATCAGGCTGCTGTTGCGACTGACTCTGTCGTCGTTGACCCGGTGCGTCCGAACTAACATGTCCGCTTCAGCAGCTTCTTCTGCACTGAGGTGATTTGCATTGAAACAAGTGGAGTCCACTGAGCTGTTTTGTGAAGTGTCAACAGGAAGCACACCGTTCCGGACTAGTTCAACACGTCGCGAGCAGGCATTATGAGTCCATACCAGTGACGCGTGAGTGTGCGTAGCATGAACCATAGTTCTGCGCGTCGGACATCGTTTACAACGCTTCTTTGTGGAGGCGTCTTCCCAGCTAACAACTCAACACCTGTATTCCTTGACAGAAGCATATGTATCTCCGACGATTGTGTAGCCAACATAGTATGGAGGGGTGTTCTGGGCCCGAACATAGTGGTCTTTGCTTCCAATCCCGCTCACTTACATAGCATCTGGGCATGAGCAAGTATAATGGTTTAGGATCTGGTCTTGCGTAAGCGCCGTTCATCTGTGGATCACGCCCAGGACTTGTACAGGGGCTTTCGCGACACGTGACTTGCAGGTGAGAATCTTCCTGAAATACTGGCTTTTCTCATATAGGCACATTGCCACAACGTGTAGAGGTCACAGCGGGAGCCGCGGAACCGCCGCGTGCGCGCCTGCCGGGGCGTGCCTCTGTACTGCAATCTAGAGCCATATATAGTTCCTCTACTTCTAAAACGAGAACACTGCAGTGCCACGCGCAGTGTTTGGGGAAAGCTCACAACCGTGACCCAAGCAGAAGTTGAAAGCTTCTCGCGGTGAGCCTAGTATTGTGTAGACAATACTTGCGGAGTGTGGGATTCCCTGAGTGTCCCTGAGTATACAAACCCAGCAAGCTTAAGGCTCTCCGATCCACAAACTAGGTACTGCTTAGGGCCTCTAATCAACCAATGAAACCCGAATAAGCTTGTTAACGATATCGCACTGGCTAGGCAAATTTCGCTTCTCGCCAAAGAACTCTCTTGAACCCTAAAACCAAGCCAGGTTCAACGAATACCTGCAAAGGTCCCTGTGCAGAGTTTGTAGATTTATTATGTGGGTGACCCTCTCTACATTGAAAGGGTCCGTCAGTTACATAGCCACGATGCTGAACGCGTGTTATTCACCCCTGCCTACTCGAGTGTAAAGCTGTTGGAGGGTTCAGCATCTTTGTGCTGCACCATGGTTGAAACACTAGGCAGCAAGCACATAAGTGCGCGGGGTAGCTGCCCCGAAAGGCCTATCACACAGTAAAGGTCTTGGATGCTTCTGAGAAACTGCACCGTAACTGCAGTAGCGATTCCCTCTTCCAAAACCCTAAACTTGTAAACCCTAAACTCCTTACCTCAAACTTCAAATCTCCACTGGCTTATCCAGTGCAACGGAACCTTGCACAACATCACCCCGAGTCTCTTCGACAGCCTCGTGACTTATGCCTACCTTAAGGTTCAAGAGTGTACTGTTGACGACTCTACAATTGACTTAGCAAAGACGGGACCCCGGCTTTGCGGGCTTCTGCATTGTATCTGTCAAATTACGTGTCTTTGGGTGGGTGAGAAATGTGGCCATACCTGCCATATCGTTCATCTTCCCCAACATGTTGCAGCATCCCAAACACCCCTACATGTATCCCGGCATTTGACGTGGGCGTTGCAACAGTTCTTATATCGACATCGAATCGGTATCGTCAACCGACACCGCAATATACATAGGAATATTGTACCGCATACCAACTCTAACAACCCGCAAACCGATCGAACCGAGGTATTATAACCAGGTTAGATGGGTTAAGCGACTCGATTCCGAAACACCTACTGGTAAAGCGAGAACACAAAATCTAATTAATTCCCCGACAACACCCACGGCTACCCTCCCATCCCCAGCAGCGGAATCGAGCCAAGCGTCTGCAACAGAGTGACCTGTCCGGCCAATAAGAATTGAAACAAGCAAGGTTAGTAGTATCGAGGGTTAACGAGCCCTCGACGTTGTACTACTGCGGGATGTGGGTTCGGGCAAACAGCTACGGGATTTAACGGTCTGAGATTCAAGGCTTCAGTTCTCATATTTTCCCGGACGGGCTTTAAAGCACAAGTAAACCTTTAAACTCAGGTAACAGCTTGAAAGCTCTGATTGGTCGAATCGCCAAAGTCCCTTTCAACGGATTCATGTGGTCGTTTCTGTACTTGGGTGTACTTCAATGACATGCGACATAATGATAAAGATAGTCCCGATGAACATGAGATGATGATGATGAGAGACGATGTTGACCGTTCTACCCGTCACTTTGGCTGCTCGCTCTCCGCTCTCTCACTACGGACAATCCAACCCTAAAACCCTAGTACCCAAACTCTCATCTACTAGATGTGTCTGCGTCCCGGAGCCCTCGTAGTGTTATTCTCCCGACTCCGGACAGACTTGAGCCAGAGCCTACGGCAAACTCCATAAAGTTGGAAACCGGGTTAAGGTCAAACAGTGCTGGGGTTCCCTTCACATTAGTCTTAAGGATTGAGGCTATGGCTTTCCAACTTTTGGGCTTCTACTGTAGACCGATCTCAGAGCTGTAAACTGTAGGATGTCTTGAGGATCCTAGACAAGCCTATGCCATAAACGCCAAGCCCCCCGAACCCCATAAAACCTGACAGCCCGGACCTGTGGAAGCATCTAAAGCAGAAGTTGGAGGTCTTGGATGTTCCAGTCTTGTTGATATTTCATTTAGGAGGCCTGAGGAAATCTCATACAGAGCAATTCTGAATAGATGTTAGAACCAGATCAATCCCCCCGCGAAAAGCATGCATATCCAACTGAAGAGTCTTATGTTATGAAGGCCAGAACCCAGATCAACCCCACCGGACACAAGCAAAGACACTCGCTAACTTCCGAAAGCACATGAACGCATGATCAACCCCACGAACAAAACCGAAGCACCCCGTAAGAACTCACCAAAAAGTTCTCGAACCCTGGATGTGCGATTTCATTCCTCCGAGACGGATAAAAAATCTACCAAGCCCTAAGCCCAAAAGCCTGACATCCCGAAAGTCCAAACCCTAAAACCCAAGCTCTCAAACCACAAATCCACGATAGCCCCGAGCCCTAAAACCCCCAAAATCGTACGGCCCAAACCCTGCAAGCAAAACATAGATAGCACTATGTTTGAGCTACTTCTTTGTTTTTTTGCATGCTCCTTTGAAGCCCAGAAATGACGAGCCTGCGAGAAGTCCATCCGTTGGGAGATGGCTTCCTGGCTGTTCTCGAACTGCCTCGCCAAGGGCTTGTTGGTCTCAGGCCTTGTTTTGCCTGCGCTACGGTAGCTGGGCTTCTTGCGGTGATTTTGGAGGTCTATGCCAATGCCCTTGAGGTGCTCGTGGTTGTCGGGTTTGCGTCTTTTGTGTTGAGTCGTCTCGGTTCAGGGGTTTTAGGATTAGTGGGGTTGCTTTAAGACGGATGAGTAGTAGCTGGCCTGTTTTTGCAGTATATGGTCCACGGATGCTTTGACTTCGTAATGCCAGCTGCTGCAAACCTTGAACCCTGTACCCGTTCCCCGCTATCGGAGACTGCGGGTCCAGAACCGAAACCCAAAACCCCAAACGGCCCTAAACGGACGCAAGGGCTCCATCTGCCTGGCGAGATCTTCTTTCATTGCCTTGAGCTCGGATAGCATCTCCTCGTATTTTTGAATCTTTATGCTTGGTTTAGATTGTTTCTTATAGCTTCAAGGTATAAGGTTGAGGCTCAGGTTTAAAGCTGCAAGGCTCAACACAACAACCATTGACAACTAGCCCAGGCACGACTTCAGGACCTGAAGGCCCACCGACTCAATCCTACAATCCCAAACGCAATGCATCCAAACCCTGAAAACTGCAACAACTCGAACCAATCGACTAGCTAAGGCAGGAACCAGAACCTTCAATACTCCACGAAACACTCAACGCAAAACCCGGAAGCTTACACTCCACGTTTTTCCCTCAACCCTCAACCTAATGTGGGAAACTGCATTCGGATCTCCTTGCTCCTTAATGCGGATCCTATCTTGTCGGGCATTTTAGATCAGGCAGGCGCTTGCAGAAAACTCCTAGACCCTGTCAACCCTAGACACCCTAAACCTTCAAGCGCTTATCCTCGACCCTGGACCTCGAGACCTGAACTCTAAACCCAAGAAGGAAATTCTGCCAGTTCAGAAGCGTTCCCCCAATCCTGTACGAACGCGCAAATCAACCCGAAGAGACGTAGGTCCCTAAGGAAGGGCCAAGCAAGTCCTGTGCCATACGGGATCGGTAGACAGGTGGGAGTTTCCGAAATTAGTGGACCTAATTTAATACCCTATATCATGGGATCCTTTTTTTGAAGGACCCCCAATTAAGGTACCCCTAATTCTCGGAAAATCCCAGTTCTGGGTCTTACAGAAAAACCAGGGACCAAGAGATCCTCGTGCAAGGGGTAGACAGCGCTGTACGCGGCCCCTGTGATCTGCTCGTCGAAGGCACCTTCATAATCTTTTTCCAGGACACATTAGACATTACATTTATAGTGGAAAATAGGGTTTAAGGGTTTAGGGTTAAAAAGCCAAACCGTAAGGACCGTAAGCCCTGTAATTCTGTCATTCCCCAGCTCTTTCCCGCAAATCCATAGCTCTCGGAGCTCGCTCGGTGGGATGGTGGGTGGCGGTGCTCAGTTCTTCCTTTCTGGAGCTTCCTCAGGCAATGTCTGGTTTGTTGCTGAATGTATCAATATAAGGATTAGTAGCTCAGGAGCTAAGAGATTAGGGCGGTTTTCAATGAACTGACAACCTCTTCCAATCCCCAAGTTCATCAATGCATCAGCCTAAACAGTGCGGGCGAAGTGTAATCAGGCAAGAGATTTCAGGCTTCAGGTGACAGCTTCGAATTATTCGACCTGGTATTGGAGTTAAAGCCTGCAAGATAAGCAGAAATGCCGAAAGAACAACTTTAAAGCGTATTGCAGCTGCTAGACTTGGCATGCTTCCCGGGTCACAAGAAGATCAAGGAAGAACTGTTGACAACCTTCTTGTGCGATTCGGAAACCCAGTTTCACTACATATCTTTGCCTGTATCTAGATATACCGATGTCTATATGCTTGAGTATGTGTGCAGAGATGTTGGTGCCTTAGCATACACACCCAAAAGCCAGCACACGTCGGTAACTCAAAACCCTCACCTGCAAACCTTAAACCTTAAGGCGTAAACCCTCAACAACCCCGAAACACTGAGCCATAAGCCCTAACTAAGCGCTGGCAGTTTGCTTGGAGCTCTCACTCGGAGTGAACGGAAGTCTCATGTTATTCTTATTCGGTGATGCGTGAGCCTTCAGTGACTGACAAGTCTCCGGTTGAGAGTTGGTTGGACACTCGGAGCCCTAGCTGGGGATCCAAAACCCTACTGTTTTAGGGGTTAGACGGTTAGACCCCATAATGAAGGGGTCATAACCTCACAGTTTGTAGGTTTGCGGATACAGGTAAGCTCTAACCTCAAGGCCAAGCGCCGAGGTCCAGCATGGGCTGGGAGCCGGAGTTCATCGGAGTGCCCGCGTTGCTGCCCACCTGAAGGGGCTCCGTTTTGGGTTACGTACGCGGGTCGGAGTAGCTGTTGTAAGGGTTTGTGGTGCCAGAAAGGTGGCTTAGGTTTTTGCTCGGGTGCGGGGTTTAGCGTCTTGGTCGAGAGCATTAGGGTGAAGGGTTAATTACGGCGACAGGCTGGTGATGCTTCGCATGTGGCCTTCGTCGCCACGCATGTCGGTGCCATACATCTTGCAATGGGATACTTTCACAAAACATCCTAGCCGACTTCTTCATATGGGTGGCTGTCAAAATTATGCTCCCTTTCTGGGTACCCCAAATGTTAGGTGCCGTATTATAATAGGGACCCCAAAAGGAACCCTAATTTTGACGACCACCCACATGAATGAACCGTTCTCGAGTGTAAGCTGATCAGGGGCATTGGGGACCCTGGTTTCTCGCGAGATCGGTACACGTTTGAATCGCAAAGTCCCCGCTTTAAACCCCACCTCCCAACCCCCAAAAGCCCAAATCCTAAACCCCAATCGCCCTAAACCCCAAACCCCAAGCCTCGAACCCCAATACCTAAGCCTCACACTCGGAACCCCAACAGGCCCCCCCCCCCCCCCCCGCAACGCCTTTATAGTAACCCATATTATAGTACTCCGAAACTCTAACTAGTATAGGATGCTTATCATAACAACCCAAAAATAATAGGTACCCGGTGCCAAGCAGCCCCCTAGCCTGTCCAGGGATCTTCGTGGAGATGCGCTCGCGGTTGGCCTCCAGGATCTTCATGAAGGGATCCTTGCAGGGCTGGGGGGGGGGGGTCGTCAGGGGCTGAAGGGTCTTTGAGGGCTTGGGCTCTACAAGTTCGCGGTGCTCTTTGCCATGATCATCACCACCGGCCCTTGACCTGACGGGTTTTGGGATGTCGGATGCGCTCGGCCTCACACCTGCTTGTATGTAGGGCTCCGGAGTTCTGGGCTCTTGACAAGCAAACCGTCCTTCTGAACTGCTCAGACCCCACTGTCAGCAAAAGATCTCGCAGAATGTAAGAGAGGGACGCAGCGGGTCCTTGGAGCCTGAACGAATATCTAGACCCCTGGTATTTGGGACAGATCTAGACTAGATGCTTCTGTGCTTTGTAAAACTCTCGTTCGCTACCACAGCAATTATCCCTCCAATCATGCTTTGAAGCATACTAAGATCAAGATCCACAGATGGAGGGGGATCAAGAGACCTTAAAGTAGTAATAACCATCAACAACATATTACCTTCGTGCAGATTCTTGCAGTCACAGGAACGGTCTGGACTACGGCAGCAACAGCACCTATGCAAGTACTGCTAATGATGGCAACAGCCCGCTCCGCCGAGTCAAGATGAAGAACCCCCAACCCCGGAAAAAAACGTAAACTGCAAACTTTGGGGACTCTTAAGGGCTCTCCTCTCATATTCCGGAACCTCCCAAAAGAGAGAGAACTGGGGGACCCGTGGTTTATCCCCTGGTGCCTACACCCGTCCTCTTTTTCCACAAGGCCTCCCTGATCCTGGCCCATGTTCCTTTGCTCGCACGGGAAGGAGGACCGACCGCGCTTCAGGGCTTAGGGCCTAGGGTGTAGTTTACAACTTTGCGGCTTAGTTCACTTTAGGGCTCAGGGCTTTGGGTTTATAGTTTAGAAGTTGAGGCTTTGGCGCTTGAAGGTTGGAGGTCTCCATTCTTGGGGCCCTTCAGCGTATGATTCCCTCAGAAGGGCTTCAGAAGTCTGAGTTGGAGGGCCAAAGCCTCAAAGCCGACGCGAAGTGAGTTGTGGTCAAGGGGGGTTTACACTAGCAGTTCAACTGGGTTCCTTTTGATGCAAAAGCTGTGACAGGACTTGCAACTTGACATTCAACTCCAAAGAACAACCGGATGCCCAGGAAGCTTTGCTTGCAGAGCCTAGGCTTCCGGGAGGACCCCCAAGCTACTCCAACGTACTTTGCAGGAAACCACTTCAAGGATCCACTGTCAAGACAAGTGCTTTGGGGTCTCTATAGCTGAAAGGTATCCGGCAAACCTGGGGCACGGCAGTTACTGCCTGTTTAGACAGCCTTTCCCAGCACCAAAACTGCCGTGGCTCATCTTCTCCGTGGTCCAGCGCTTCTGGATCGAGGAGATCAGTGCCCAGGGCAAGTTCAGGTCCATGCATCGGTCCTGTGAGTGTTGGTTCTGTCGTGTTCTGCTGGGTTTCTGGGGAAGTAGCGCGTAAGTTCGCAGAGCTGCGTGTGCTTCTATCTTGTGCCTAATAATACTTTCGTCAAAAGCGTCAAAACCACTGCAGAGCTGCGAAAAAACTCGGAAGCTCTGAACTGAACGACTGAATTCCGCATACAGGTCCTAGTAGTTCAAGTATGCCTGTAACTTGTAACGATTCCATCTAACGGCTCCTGAGTGCTAGATGACGGTTCAGGTCGTGGCGAGTTCCTCCGAACCGCGAGAAACTATGTCAATCTTCAAGCTAGAACCTCCTACACCGCGAACGGACACCTACTGTAGGGACTCATGCATTAAGGCAGACTCAGTCTTCCAGTTCCTAAGTCCTAAGTCGCACACATATTGAACATGCGGTACGGGCCTGAACAACTAGCATGGGGTTTCGTTGACGTAAAGGGACTGATTGTAAGGGGATATTGTTGACTTCTCTGTTATACCCTGCCTTCAAAAATTCGCAGGCCAATATGCTTACGATACAAGCGCTGAACCCGAAACCCGAAGCCGCGTTGAACTCCGTAAGCCCTGCAATCTCTACATTGGGACGCTATGCCCGAGCTGAGCCCCCATGGCCCCCAAGGCATGCCCGGTCACCTGATTGAGGCGCTCCAGAACGGCTGTGTTGCTGATGCCGCTGTCCACCAGAAGCTTCATCATGCGGTTCGAATGGGTTCCCAAGTTCATGGTCCTTGCCACTCAGATAGTGTTTTTGTGGGTTTAGGGATGGGGACTGAGCAAGTCAGAAGGGTTGTAAGCCATTGTAAGCACCCTAATCGGGATTTATAGGTGCCCAAGTTCATCTGTGTTACCAGATGTTCCGCATTTGTGAAGAGTCTTCTCCTTTCTTCCTTTGTTCTTGCAAATGTAGCTGGTACAACCACGGCCGCAAATATTGATACCCTTGCATGTACTGCCATCATTGGTATCCCGATGCTACTGCTACTGCTGCCACTCAAATGTGATCCTCGTAAAGCCACGACAGGGGGCAAAGGTAAACTCTCCGAGTGCAACGCTTCCACTCTGCCACCCCCGTCTAAAACCCTATCAACCTGCAAGATGCGGCAACTGACCAAGAAGCCACTGCACGCCTCTGCCACTCGTAGTTGGGGTACTAAATGGTGAGGAGCTCTGACTCTATAAGGGGCTTAGGAGGGTTTGAGGGCGCAAAATGCAAAACACGATGTGGCAGCAGGTTACGGATTTTGGGGGTTGCTGAGAGACCTAGATCTTGGTTCCGGACAAGTAGGATCCAAGTAGGAGTCTTGGACGCCAAGATAAGGTACCTACTCTTCTGAAACGCGCAGCATCGACTTCTGGGTTTTAGGGATTCTCCGGAACTCAAGGTTCCTTTGCACTCTCTTTCAAGAACCAGGCTTTCAAACAGGTACCTTCAAAGTTTTCCACGAAAATGCTTTGCGTAAACTCACAAGGATGAAAGTTCTCCTGCGTCCAGTGCATAGGTAATAACTTGAAAGCCTGACCCTGAACTCCACACCTCGAAGCCTCAAAACCCAAAGAACACAAAACAACTTCGAACCACCCAAACCCTGAACCCTAAACCCCCTGTTCGGGTTTCCTAAGACCCTTTTATCGGGGTTTCCTAGACCCCTGATTGTGGTTTAGGCTAAATCATGCCCAAAGCACACCATGGTCTCCGCCACCAACTCTACCAACTTACTCTCGCTTCCTGCTTCCTGGAAGAGCTTAGAGTCTTAGGGGTTTCTGTGCTGTTTGCTGATTTGTTAAACTTGTTCTTGTGTTTCTTGGATCATATGTTCTTGTTGGTTTTGCTGGCATTTTCTAGGTAGTGTAGCTTCTAAGCCCACGTATACCGTCAGGTTTATCGCTGAGGCTTGGGAATCAGTTCGTACGGCACAGACTGTAGAATGCCATACAAGCGAAGTATTTCTCAAACGAGGGTAGGGTGGAAGAAAGGACATTGGAGTCTCCAGCATCTCTGCTGGCCTTAAGATAAGGGCACCATTGAGACTCAGCCTAAACAGTTTTCCCAGCATAGTGAAGCTTGGCCAGAATTCGACTGCAGTCGCTGGATTGCGTGGTGACACAGAGGCCTAGAGCAAGGAAATAGTGACTCCTGCTTGATGCGTATGTACCGGAGGAGCCTACCGCGTTCAGTGTCTACATCGAACTCCACGTTGGAGTAGACCACTGAGGCAAACCCATCTCCGTCAACAAGGCGTAAGTAAGGCATCCTTATAATGAGGCGCCTAAATGCTGTGAGTTTGTGATTCGAAGGTTCACAGCATTCCTCAAACTTCCCTTGAGGTCTTGAATACTGGATCCTCTGTTCTTTGGTCCCGAGCAGGAGCCAAGCAAGTTGCAAATCAGTTCGCCGGTTGCAGTTCAAGGGACCAAGGCCCCTGACTGACTGACTGACTGACTGACTGACTGACAACCACTCGGATGCGTCAAGACGGTTCGTGAACAAGGAGCCGCATCTGTGGACTCCGAAGGGACCTGCGCTCAACCAAAACCTCAGTAAGCCACTTACGGGCCCCTAAAGCTAATGTGAATAGATACCTCCACAAGGCCTTAAGGAAAGTCAGCAGGTGTTCCACAATGCCACCTAATCTTAGGATGGGTGCGCGCATCCAACACGCAAGCTTTACGGAGTTGAGTAGCAACCCTTAAACCTGCCGGAAACATCCCTACAGCATCCGACACCTCAAACCCGGAAGACAAAACCCAAAGCCCGAAACCTATCCTTCGAGTCTCTTGGGAGCCCCACCTCGCCGTGGCCGAGGCCGTAATCCGTCGGATTGAGGCCACCGCGAGGAGAGACAGCTTTGCCTGCACAACAACTGCCAAATGGTTTATGGTTTCACTTCTGTGTGTTTATGTTGTCAGGCTTGTGGATTGGTGTGCAAAGGCTACAGCCTCCGAAACTAGTCAACAAATACAGAGACCATAAAAGTCAGGACAGGGCTCTGGGGCATCTTGTACTATAAGCGTATCGGGATTCTGAGGAATGACGGTGCGAGTTGTGCCGACCTCTGCCTTCAATAATTTTAGAGTCTCTTGGTCGCTTTGGGGCTCTCGGAAAGAGGAGCCAAACCCGAAACCTAAACACCAAGGACCCATCCCAGGTAAACCCGAATGGTAAGCCTGCGCACGGGGCTTAACCATTTTTGTTGACGAAGAAACGTTGAGGCCTAGGGGCTTGGGGTTAGGGAGCTCCCTTCACAGACGAGGGGAGCCCCACAACGGCTTAAGAGCTGCCGTTGCGGTAAGTAGAGCCAAACAAGCCCTGCGGAGCTTCTGTGGACCCAAGCTTAACTTAGTGGTCCCGCTCATTAGCTAAGAAGAGCATTAACATCGTGATGTCAGAGGGCAGAAACGCACCAAAACCTAAAGTCTGTACTCTGCTATAACATACTGTAAGATACCCTACCATGCGGTTAATATGCCGTGAACGTACTGCTATAACATACTGTAAGATACCCTACCATGCGGTTAATATGCCGTGAACATACTCTCCCTGTCAATATATATATATATATATATATATATGTATATGTACACGCTACACGTATACTCTATACTGCAACACAGAATCTATCCCCCTTTCAATTCTACGACAAAGTGGACCAAGAGTCTGGGGCCTGGGTATATAGGGGCTAGGCTATAAGATTTGTGGGTTAGTTTAGTTTCGTTTTCCGGGGTTACCACTATCCATTGAACCCCTCCCACCGAACTCTGATACCCTCAAGTCCGAAGCCACAAGAGCGCTCAAGCCCGAGCCCAAACCCATGTCTGGGCCTACGAAGTCCTGTTGCGAGTAGGTTTGAAGGTCATGCTCCGTGGTGGCGTCACCTTTTCTGGAGGCTTTATGGAATGCGAAGTCTAGTTCTGGAATCTTGGGGCTTTAGGGGTTGCAGGTGGCGACAGCATGCATCCTGACTCTTGAGGCTCCTATCACAGGATGGGCTCGAGTCTACTGGGATGCTCGGGATGCTTGCAGCCGCGAGCTCCCAATCATCAAGACTTGATAAGTCTCCTTGTGCAGTTTTTCGGTTGACTCCAAACAATGCATTGGCAGAAAATCGACTTCCGACATCAGGCTGTGACTGTTCCACCCTCCAACAACAGACCTTTCGACGCTGCAACTTGCTATGACCGTCTTTCCCAACCCTCAAGAGGACCTCTAACGCCCTTCGAAGCTTGAACCTCAAAACCCTGAAGCCCTCAGCCCCGGCCCTAGTATTCCAAACCCCTCAAGCCCAAGTCCACAAACCAAGGCACCGGGTGGGAGGCCGTACAGTTGGCGTGCGGCCTCCATCTTGTTCTGATGAACCTTGCGACTGACAGAATCAAGCCATTGAGGCCGTTTTTAGGGTGCAGGATCCTCCGAGCACGATGTATAGTTGCAGGCTTCTTCCCAGGATCCTGTACTGTATGGACTCCCTTCTACTGTATGGAGATCGATAACCCCACTCCCTTCACGAGGAGGTGCATGGCCACCATCAACTACACAACGGGTGCAACCGCGGGTCTGCATTAGGCATTGACCTCTAAGATGAGGCCTGAATCCCAAACTCCCTACATTGTACAATAGGTCCCCAGTAGCAGCACCTTAGCAATGGCATTTTTTCCCACTTTCCGGTTTCATAAAAAATTCCCACCAAACAAATAACCCCACGGTACTCCTGGGGGACCTAGTACACCGGGGCCAAGGAGCCATCTTCATCCGCTGCAGCAATACGATGAAACTGAACTTGGAGACGACGTTCCTCGACTCTGAAAGCTTCCATGGAGAGACTAGCCATATTGATGTTGAAGCCGACTCCCTGGTCATCCACCCAATAACATCCATAATACGAAGAACCCGTATGTGGTTTTTCAATTACCTTCCTGCACTATTCCTGAATTCTGGTGTTTCGAGCTTCTGATTGGCAACCAACAGATCGTTGTGATCGGGACTGCATGACAGGGGAGTCTCAAGGAACAGGCAACCCTTAACTCTTATTCATGTGTGGGTAAATAAATATAAATATAAATATATATATATATATATATATATATATACATATATATATATATATCTATGTATATCTTTATACACACAGAGGTTCCGGAGTAGCCCCTTTACGATAAGGGCACCTTTTTCCTACCATTTGGTTTATAGGGGAACCCAAAAAGAAACAGGGCAGGAGGGTACCACTCAGGAAACTAGATACACATAAAGATGGAACCATCAACGATGGCATCCTAATCAGAAAGCAGGCACCAACTTTCACACGCTTCTTCCTTCTTTCAAGCCCGCATATGACTCTTAGATCCTCGTCAGACCCTCAGGTCCCCATGATTGCTATAATCCCATGCATCACGTGGAGGCTCAACCCTGGGATTACAATGCAGGTTGAAGTGCATGACCCATAACTATTAGGGAAGATATCTTTCCCATCAGGAGGTAGTTCAAAACTCTGAACTCAGCCTCAACCTGAAACCCCGAACCAAAAAGCCTCTAAACACCCAAACTCTAAAACCGGCGCCGGGGAACCCTAAACCCTGCTCAGTATGGCTCTGCCGGCAAGAAATCACAGGAAGCACCATTGAGAACATGTACAATGTCTCTGAGTTATCTTGGGTTGCGGAACTAAGTAATCTCCACAATGGAAATAGAGTAATGCTGGATCTTGTCCCGTACAAGTATGTAAAAGCAAAAACACAGTACGCTTGAACGGTCAGTTGAGGAATAAAACTTCAATGGTAGTAAGATGGCCCAGAACATACTTGACGGAGTATTGAATGCATAATACAGGATTCCTTTGATGGCCCAAACTCTCAACCCTATAACCCCTGCGTGGAGAATTCAAAGTCGCCCAACTCGTGAAATTCAACGAGGGTGAGAGTATCAACGACGTACGTATACCAATTACCCTGAACCACAAGTCGATGATGATCATCATATCCGCCAAGTAAGTATACCAACCTGAACTACAAATCTGACATCTCAAAACTCTGAAGCTCAAAGTTTACAAATACGAGGGCTCCAGAAAACCCAACCAGCAACGAATTTAGAGGCTCTGAGATGCTCAAAATCCAGAGATACCTGTAGAATTGTGTGCAGCATAGGATGTGCTCTGCGGTTCCGGAACGCAAGCCACTAACTATACAATGCTCTGCAAGTGCTTAGAGTATATCTCCCAGTAACCCATTTCCGAGGAGGCAACTGGAGTCCTAATATGACATAAAAAGCTTGCATAGTTAGGCTCGGTTCTGGTGTGTATACGTAAGAGTATAACTACTTAGGACTGTGCAGTTGCACAAGTACTGAAAACAGATGTGCTTTTACGTGAGGGAAAGGCAGCTGCTGATAAGCCGGGTCTCAGTAGCACCCAGCCCATCTCGATGACGAAAGGATCTTTGATCAGGCCGAATCCCTCGACAGACACTGTGAACCTCGCCGGTTTAGGTGGAGCGCGGACTCAGGGAACTTACAAGCTGGTTTTACGTGGCCCTGAAGCACAGTTACCCAGTTATCTGGTTAATGACATTGTGATCCTTGGCTTCGGGTTGACGGTCTTGGATTTCAGGTCTTTGTGTGATGCGAAGTATCAGCATGCCTTATTGCTGTTTTCCTGAAAAAATTAACTATTCTAAGCCCGGTTGGCTTAATTAAGCTCGAAGGTAATGTGTAGCTAATTCTCTTGACGGCCTTCAGTATAAAAGTCTGCGCATCGATTCGAGCGCTTCGGGTTTAGGGGCACCGGCACCGGCTGTACACACAGAGACACACACACACACGTACGCACACAAACACCCAACAGATGCGTGCACACACATAGTCGAGGGAGGTGAAGAGATCAGATATAGCACTTTAAGAGGAGAAAACGAAAGCCGCTTAAGGCTTGGGTATTCGACACAGGAAAGCTAGGCACCTTAACAAGCTTCATCAAGGAATCTGCTGTGAAAAGAGGACCAGCCTTGAATTTTCTAGTCTTCCGCCGCTCTTTTTTGGGGGGCTCTCTGGGTAGAAGCCGAGAGGCCAAATGGGGAAGGGGAACCAAGTCCATACCAGGAGGAGCGAGAGCTTGCGGAAGTCCGAATCTCCATGGAAGAAGGACTCCTGCAGGGTTTAGGGTTTAGGGGTTTAGGGGTTTAGGGTTGAGGGGTTTAGGGTTTAGGGTTTGGGGTTTAGGGTTTTTTGAGTTTAGGATTCAGGGTGCTGGGTCGAAGGTTCGGGGTTTAGGGCGTTGGGTTTAGGGTTTGAGGTCTCCCTCCTAGAGCCCCTGAAGGGATCCGCCCTGCAAAAACACCTGCGCTCCATCGAAATGGATCCTTTTCAGGCTCTGTGCTAGATCCTCGATCCCTCCTTCCTAAACTTGTGCTTCGTTCTTTCTTTGCATGTCTCTGTTCCTCCGGACCCACGTTAATGACCGCAGAATATTTGAATCCGGATCCCCGACATTTTAGGTCATATTTCTCAGGCCCGTAAAGCCTTTCCCGGTTTAGGGTTTTTGATTACGTATCTGGGCTGAGTACTGTCAGCTGCAAGCCAACTTGGCTCTAGCCTCTGGGTTTAGGAGAAATTTGGGGCTTGGGGTAGCTTTAATTAACTTTGTCCCAATACTCTAGCTCTCACGGGCTGACACAGTGGGTATTGAAAACTGCCATATTTAGGTTACAAGTAACCTGAACATCGAAGTGCACATTCTCACATGCCAAGGCAGCGCAAAGGCTCATACTTAAGGCTGTTCTTAAAAGCATTCAAACACCACATGCTGGTACTGTTTTAGAAGATGCTCTACCAGAAGTCGAAAGAGATGTTCATAAAACCAGCCTAGATCAATGAAGGTTTCTGTCCTAAGCCTCGATAGAATATCCTTTGGGACCTCGATCAATCAGACGCGGCTTTTGGGGTATAACATTATGAGAACACACTCGTCTTCTGATTGCTTGAGGGCGCAACCCTTTTTGCGACCAATCCGTCGGTACAAAAAGACATATCGGCACGAGAAGGGGTAGGTATTGGGTGTAATTATAAATTCAGACCTATATTTGTTGCTTGTGAGCGGATTGTACCGAAGGCCAAACTGCCAAAGTCTTGTTTCCAGGGTTTGAAGGTGAAGGTCTACTGTAGCGGCACGTACCCTGACGTGGATAACCTTAGCCCATGCGTTGGGTTTAGATGTCGAGGGTTTACGGGTTAAAGGCTCAGGGTTTGGAGGATGATGTCAGAGAGCCTTGAATCTCAGTGCTGGGCTTATGAGCGAATCATATTCTCCAAGTCGTCTCCTAGCAGGACTGCCAAACATCTCCCGACGAGAGCGAGCCCCGATCTTCTGATTGAAATCCTCAAGGGAAATGCTCGATTCCACCAAGATCAGCAACCCGCTGAGGCCTTTCTAGTGATCTCTTGCGATAGCGCCACCGTCCCAACTCACAATCTCATGGCGGTCGTACTAGTCTTCATGAGTCAAACGTTCCAGTGCGAGACCTCTGCATCTTCGAGCTCGCTACGGACTTTTCAACAGACCACCTAAGGATGGGGTCTTAGGGTTTCAAGTTGAGAGTTTAGAGTGTATATATATACATACACTCTAAACTCTAAACTTTAAACCCTGTACTATAGCTATATCTATATATAGATATATACACATATAGATAGATAGATATAGCTATAGTACCTAGGTTATGACCATCAGAAGTGCGCTTCCACTTCGGTTCCGAATAACAGTGACCCTGTCCAACACGCCTGCCTCACCCTCGCTGTTCTCTGAGATCTGAAGGCTGTTGTGGTAGAACATGATGACTGGGCCACGCTCCAAGCTAGCACTCGCTGCGCTTATCTGGAGGGTTTCCATTGGTTGAGGGGCAGGATCCGCAAACATTTAACAACTGGGATTCTTCGCAAATGAACTACCATGGACATCAGAATAAACTCTCCGTTCCAGCGAAGACAAGACGAGGCTCATGAAACAAAGAAGAAGCAGTCAGAAGACCGTCGACTGTCCGGGTGTGCTAGGCATAATCCCACACATAAGTAATTTAGCGGCCGAAATAATTGCTAAGACTATTTTGGTGGTTTCCTAATGTAACTATTGTACACAGAGCCCCAAAACCCTCCGCCAATTACTAAGGCCCCTATATTTCTCACAAACCGTCACGCATAGTGCAGACCACTGGATGATACATTCCTTATAGTGGATATCCTCGACCCAAGGCTGTAACCTTAAAGACACATGGCTCCTTTTTTCAGGAGTCTACGTGAGGACTTAAGGTCTGGGGAAAGCCCTACAACCCGAGAGCTTCGACCACCCCTTCTTTTTAGGAATATGCCTTACCCTTTACTGTAGATGGACCCCGAAGATGATTTAGGGTATTGCCTTGAAGTCTTCCTGGTTCTAAGGTTACAGGGACTCCTTTTGCTCCGGGTCAAAGCAGAAGTAACCTATCAGGAAATCCCGAAAAGCCTCGATTCTTTGCTCAAGATGACGGCTTTGTCAAGAGCCCTGATTGGCGTATACAGTGCGAGGCCTGTCAACGCCATACATTTATAAATCTTAAACTGCTCAAACTGCAGAGCCCCAAAAAACGTAGAGCACTCGCCCCATGCTCCGCCCTAAATCCTGTACCTCGAAATCCCAAATCCTGCTTTCGACAGGGCGCCAGCGAAGCAAAGGCCAAAGCCGTACCATGCGAAGCGCAAGGCATCTCCTGGGCGCGAACTTCAAGAACCCAGAGACTTGGACTTTTTACGGTTTGAGGTTTTGGGCCCGAAGGGATTCCAAAGCCCTCTACAACTAGCGAACGGTCTTGATTCATTGCGCTGGTTGTGGGGACTGGGCTAATCCAGGCTCCCATAATCAGAGAAGCATCTTATCCGAGAGATCTCTCGCAAAACCCGACAGAATCCGATAAGACCCTTTCGCAACCTTTCAACAAAAAAAGATTTTTGATGATCCAACTTAAGTTCCCTACTTCCCTAACAGCCCGGGAAGATCCTGCGCATGAAATGAAAGAGGCATGCTTGCTGACCGCGACGTTTCACCTAAGTTATGTGCTGCAACAAGAAACCCCCAAACCCTTTTCGGTCCCCGTTAAAATAAGGGTTACTTCAAGGGCTTCCCCCTGACTACAAGGGGTAAATACTTTCAGGGTTTAGTATGGAGCCTTAATGAACAACAACCCAGGCTCCGGTGAACATGGAGGCGGTTCCACAGAGCAGCACGGCCACCTCGGGAGGGTTCAGAGCTCGGGCTCAAGATGGGCAATGAAGGGTTTTTTAAAAACGGGTCTTTAAGAACCCTCTTCCCAGAGGGTATATAATAGAGGATTTTTAATTGACGTTTTCCGCGGGGTTTTCTAGGGTCCTTACAAGGATTTATAGGGAAACCTTACTTGACCTTTTCAGAGTGGTTTTGTATGGGTCCTTACAGGGTTTTATGAAGGTTCTGAAAGGATATTATGTCTGACAGAAGAGAATCAGAACGGGGCGACGAGGTATGCTATAGCCCGGTAAACCTACAGCGACAAGAGATACTTTTATGATCTTACTTATTCTGACCTCTATCTATATTGCGATTTGAGGGTAGCCTTCCAGGCTTGTGGGAATTGTAGGGCTCGGGTGCAATAAAAAGCGACAAGTGGTTTAAACAAGCATATACGTTTTGAAGGACAACATTCTCTATATAAATTCTCATAAGATTCATACATACATGATGTTCTCGAGCTCAATGCTTCAGATGGCCTCTTCTTGACAACCCAAATTTTTGCGCCTCGATTAGGATGCTTATTCGGCGAGGTTTAACTAAACTGCAAGCACCCCAATCCCCACGGCCGAAACTGATGAACAGTTGCGCCTGCTATTCAGCTCGAGACGGCTGCCACAAATCCAACGAGGGAATCAGGGTACTCACGGTTGGGACGCTATATAGGGCCAGAAGTGAATACGGCTTTGGTGTTTATGATATTAAATCTTAACGATTCATTAGATCCTCAGATTAATGCAGGTGGGCAAAGCAAGATAATACAGATTTGCTGAATTACATCTGCGACCATACCTGCATGTCAACCAAGTTAACAGTACCGAGGGCGACCATACACACGTAGGTAAGAAATCTTTGGGAGATCCTTTTGGAAAGGAGCAGAACCTAATACAACCTAACAACCTGCGAAACAGCCTGGGAAGAGCCAAGTACATTTGCAATAGCGAATGAACTGAACAGCAGAACAGCGGGATCCTCTTACAAGCGTCGGATCCTTGTTACAAGGCGCCTCAATCAAGCACTCTTGCTGGGCTGAACCGTTTAGATCCATCGAAGACCATCAGTGGTGATTTGAAGGTTAAGTGTTCGGATCATGTAGGAAAAGGACTGCCACCAAAGCCTAGTTGTTGAACAAGGGTCTGCTCTTTTCTACTGTTCGAATTCGGATTCTGGATAATGGCAACCCCTTCGCCCCAAACCCGACTCTAAACTCCTGCATCCCTAAACCCTAAACTGAACACCTAGAAGCTCTATAATCCTGGAGAGCGATCAGGTTCCTAAACCCCAAAACCCATGGACCCTAAACTGCATCCTGATTCCTCAACGCAACCTTCAGCCCGGGTGGCCGAAAGCAGGGGCATCATGAAGCGTCGGTAAGCGGGCACCCGCGCGCCTGCAAGCGAGCAAAAGTGACTGATTCAATCAGAGACCTAATCTCCCAAGTAGGCAATATACCGAAAAGTAAGGATCCTCGTAAGGTTCAGCGACTACTCCTTCATTGGGAAGTTCCCGAACTCAACATCCTGCCTTTAAGAACCAAGCCCAAAACAGCTGAACAACTCTTCAATGTACACCTACTCTATCCAAAAAGCAAGGCTTAGGCTTCGGAGAGACAGCAGGTAGGAAAATGTGTGTGTGTAACATCAACATATACATATATGTATATATGTAGTCACAGTCACTTTAAATTTGTTTACATACAGACATACAGACCTTTGACGGACTTTGACCTGCTCCCAGGATACTCCAAGTGCCAGCTCGAAAGGGAGTCTTTCGCGTTTAAGGGTGTTAGGCTCGGATGCTCAAGCTCTGGGCCTCAACGAACAGAGAATAGGTCAAAACGCCTAATGTAGGGGCCGAAATAATTACTAATGTGGAAGATGTGCACTGCCCTCAAGGTGCACGCGTCCGCCTCTACCCATGTGCTGCAGTTCCTAGCACATGGGCGGGGTTGGGGTGGGCACATCTGAGTGCAAAACATGTTTTACGCAGGTTATGAGCCCAAGTCACGGACCTCTGCGACAAGCTCCGTGTGGACAGCTCTTTGCAGGTTGGTGAAGCTGGGAGGTGACTCGAGGAGGTGCTCGGCTGCATTTGTGTTGTGCAGGGTTTTGTGACAGGTGAGTTCGCAGGCCGGCCTTTGTCTCAGAAAGCGGGGGATTGTGAATCTCAGAAAGCGGGGGGCCAATGCAGTTCACCAGCAAGGAGCAGTGTGGTGATGGGGGGGCGCCTAACAGCTGGTGCGGTGGCTCATGCCCAGTGGCCTCCAAAGACAGAAACGGTGGCAGCAGCATCATCTTGTCGAAGCATGCCCCAATGCCCACAGGTCACTGGGCCAGGGGGAGTGTGGAAGATGTGCACTGCCCTCAAGGTGCACGCGTCCGCCTCTACCCATGTGCTGCAGTTCCTAGCACATGGGCGGGGTTGGGGTGGGCACATCTGAGTGCAAAACATGTTTTACGCAACTAATACTATTTTGGGGGTTCCTTAATATAATTGTAGTATAACGGGCCCCAACACCCTATTCTACTTATTAAGGCCCCTATACTACGCCCTAAACCACGCGGAAGTAGGGCTGCCGTCCAGGCCTGCCAGCACGACAAGCTTCAGCTGCATGATGGGGCAGGTGGCCAACCACCTGGGCCAGAATTAAAGTCGAGATACCACAACCCCTTAACTGAGGGATCTTGGTGAGTATTGGAGCGCGGTCCATATACAACGGTTGAACAGAAGATAAGTAAGCAACAGGGACACACAACAGAGTTGAATGCTTCAAAGACTATGACCGATCTCTCACGCCGATCTGCCTTGTGCTTTAGAGGGATATTCGGTTACGGGTCCACGGCAAAAGTCTCAAAGTGTGGAACACCGTTGTGCAGATGTACAAAGGCTATCCCACCATTGTATAAAGCAAGGAGGTGTGTTTGACCCGGCATCTGTCCCACAGGCTCGATTTTCGGGGTGTCCAACTATTCACAGGAAGCTCCTAGTTTGAGTCGCTGTTTCTGGCCATCGTAAAAGCATGTTCGTATATCGCAACTTGACGCAGGGGACTTATATTGAACATGACGTCCCAAGTTTCTTTTATACTTTTTCGTAGTCTCCATGTGAGCTTTAGCCTGAACCTTTCAACCTGGAACCCTGAAGAGAACCTGAGGAGTAGGAGCGATGCAAGGTTGTCGGTGCGAAGCTACAGTTAACAGGCAGGATACTTCGAATTCCTTGACGTGGTCTCCAATCTCCAAGAAATCATTTTATACAACTTGCGCTAGATACCACGTTCCTTGAACAACATCAAGAAAGAACACCGCCAAAAATGAAGGGTCAGATTCCTCAGCCCTGAACCCTGAACCCAATTCGAATGTCAGGATGTCCTGTTGATTTTGGCCTCAGGGTTCTTGCAATAGGATCCTTCACAGCCAGCCCTCCTAAAGGAGACGTGAAACTCAGAGGGTCTCGAAGAAGGCCCAGCTTATCATCTTACCCCATCAGCGATGCTAAACTCCCTGGAAGCGGGCTCCTTTTAAGGTGGAGAGATGCGCAAGCTTTCTCAGCGAGGGGACTTCCTAAACCTTAAACCTACACTGGAACATGCTATAAGTTCATAAAACTTTCTGGAAAATTATGATGATACCCTATACTGTATTGTCACTGATATAACATGATATAGCATACTTTCATACTACACTATACCAAAATTCACTACCTTACATAATTTGAGAGCCAAAGGGGCTCAACCGGGCGAGAGAGGTTCAACGTGAAGCTGCTGGACCGCCCAGGCAAATCGAAGTCCTGAGAAACAGAAAAAAAAGGCCGTAGGGTTTAGGGTTTAAGGGTCCTCTAAAGGGTTTAGGGTTTAAGGGACATATAACGGGTTTAGGGTTTAAGGGTCACTGCGGTTCTCTTGTTGTCCTCCCCTTCTTCCGGATGTCGTCGCGAAACCGTCTCTGTGCGGCTCGCAAGTGGGACAGGCGATGGCTGGCTGCAATACAAGATGGCATATGCCGAGGAAAGTTAATTACGACAGACTCGGAATGCGAGTCCTTCTAAAGATGGATATGTCGAGGGGAGTTATGATCAACTCGGAATCCGAGTCCTGACGGACTTAGTTGATCTTTGGAGCGGATCCCTGCAGAACCTAATCCTCACAGCGTATACGCCCCGGTGCAAAAACAGAAGCCACCGATGTTTAGGGGCATCAATGCATTCGGCATCGCAAGCCTGCGGTGCCAATATGCCATCTACCCTGTCGGGTGATAAATGCCAGGTTCTCAAAAGGATTTTGAATAGCGTGTTGTTTTGATGGTTAATGTAGTAGAATTATCATCAGGAGCCCTTTGACTAGTTCTGGTTTCCTTTACTTGGCTTGGGTGTTCGGTAATTCTGCGTCTGAAGATACGGTCAAAGCGTTTAGCAGGTGTCCTAAATATGCTGTCTGCGTTGTTGTGCGCGGCATGTCAACACTGCAAGTGCTGTTCCTTCACTCTGAGCATATGAATGGTGAAAGCCGGTGTCAAGAACCGTCAACAGCTTGGGGCATCGGGGCTTCTTGTACAGGAAGTTTGGCTTCTGATGCATGTTCACCCATGTCTCAAGAAGACAAGGCATCATGATCTGCGGATTATGAAAATGTGTTCGAGTCTCTGTGCTTGAGAATTCCCGCCGCATGACTGTAGGAGCACATTGCAAACACCTTTCTCAGCTGCATAAGGCGACGCTGATGTCTTCAAAAGGAAACCTTTCCTGAGCCATCGTTTTGCAGCTAGTGGCATCAATGGCCGTCAGCTGGAGGATGTTGAAGAAGCCGGAAAAGAGAGCCACCGCCGTGCCTGAACCCCGACCCCGGGTTTAGTGCTTCGAGCGTCCCAGGCAGGTTGCGGTAGGAAACTCAACTGCAGGATAAGAGCAAGGCAGTGGAAGGCAGTTGGATATTGTATTGCAACAGAAGAAGCAACGATAGTTAGTTATATGTTTCATGATGGATCTGGTGTTTTGTTGGTTTCGTCCAAGTCAAACTCTTGCAAAGCCTTCCTCGCCAGGAGATGACCTCCTATCTTGGGTATATTCGGCCCTGACCTCGTCTAACCTTGTGGGTAACTCCTTGAGGCTAACGGTGCGTGCCGTTTGCTGTGGGACCTATCTAAAGCGTGCTGGAAGCCAGTGACCCTGCCCTCTCCAACTCAAGTGCAGCAGTTCGGGTGGGTGTGTGAGGAGTTAGTGTTTTAGCTTGCTTGGGCCTCAAGCTCTCAACAGTGCAACGTTTGTTCCCGATTGTCTCTTTAATCGAAGGCGTCAGCTCCTCATGCCACAACCAAGCTTAGAGCATTCTTCATAGTTACGGCTTGGCTGGTTCCTGTTCTTTATCATCCAAGAAGCGCCAAGACCCTCAATAATTCAGGACCCTTGACCAGGTTTGTCACGCATAGATTCCAAAGAAGGACATGCAGAGAAGGGCTTTTGGTTTCTCTAGGGCCGAGCCGCTGATGGTCGCACAGATCTTGTGACGCTCTTCGAGCGGAGCCTTCTGGGCGACAGCCACCTTCGAAGAAACCCTAAACCCCTAAACTCCTAAACCCCTCCTAGACCCCTAAACCCTAAACCCCTCGAGGTCTTGGTTGGTGTCGGGTTGAGGCTTTGGGGCTTTTCGATGAACTTTGCGCGAACTTTCAGCATAGTGCCAGCCCGAAACCTTAAAGTAAGACGGTCAGAGTACTACTCCATTACACTGTCTGATTCTGGTATTGGAGGGCTGACTTGCTGAGATCGCTTCCATGGGTGGATGTTCATGGAGTCCCCGATTGGACCCTCGACCCTGAACCCTAAATCCTAAACCCAAAACCGTATAAACCCGGTTTCTAAACCTTGTAGATTAAGATTCTTGGTGGTGAATTTCTTGGGGGGGGTCAATGAGGAATAAGCGAAGGAAGTTGGACAAGGCTTATATGCGGGATTGGTTAAAGGTAAAGGCGGGCCGAATTGGGCTCCAGCAGTTTTTGAAGACTTGCTGTGAGCTTGCCGGCCAGGGTTGAGTGTTTCGATTGTTTTCTTGTCTGAAACCCAGATTTGTGTCCGTAAGCTACCCACGAGTTCTAGAGGCTCTTGAAAGCATTGCGACCTCTACACGAAAAGTGTAGAATCCAACCAAAAAAACACGGTCTAATGCAATCTTTCGGGCTTATTGTACCGTCTACAGTGGGCTCTAGACACGGAATTTCCAGCAAGTCTGCTTACACTCCTCAACTCGAAGCTGTAAACCTAATGTAGGGGCCTCATAATTGGAATAAGGTTTTGGGGCCTATCAGACTATATTTACAATAAGGAACCCCAAAATAGTATAGGCAATCATTAAGGCCCCTATATTAACACCACAAGCCCTTACAGCTTTGGAACCTCAGGCGACCTAAGAACCGTCTGGGTCCATGTGAACCAATGCCTTTCGTCCACCAGGCACAAGATTCTACCTATCACGCAATATGAGTCATATTTTCATATGTATGTATATATATATAAACAAACAAATATAATATATATATATATATATATATATATGGGAGTTTCCGAAAATAGGGGGCCCTAAGTTAGTACCCGAAATAGTAGGATCCTTACTATAAGGATCCCAAATAAGGCACCCCTACTTTTCGGAAACTCCCATATACATAAATAGTATGTAACTTCTGGCTGTCCCAGGTTTACCCTTTGTAAAGTACCCCAGCCAGAGTTGTGTGAACTTCTTCGGCACATGCAAGCCCTTACCAAAGCGAGGATTGAACTAAAGGAAACGAATAATAAACTACAATACTACGTAGTCATAACCGTAGCCATAATAATACGAAGAAAATGCCAATCGTAAGAATGAGCATAATCCGAATAAGAACAAAAACTAGTCATATTGGGACGAAAGTCCAGCAGACTTTTGGCACTAGCCTTGCAGCATGGTTTTCGAACTCAGGGCAGAATACTCCACTTTTCCCCCAATCGTTTCACAACTTGCAGCTTTGCCTGCGGATGCTAAAGCATCCCACCCAGGTGGAGTCCGAGCAGACGGCGGTATCCCCAAACTCTGCTCCCCAAAGGCCCAAACCTCAAAAATCTAGTGCCTAAGCAACCTGAGACCGACAAGTTCAAGCCCCGAGGCCTCAAACCAAACCCCGAAGCCCAACACCCTAAACTTTAAACCTCAAGACCCTGCATAGGGTTTTGGGGTATGTTATACTGCATTTCCTTGGCACTTCCCAATTTGTAATGGTACTTATTTCGGTCGATAGATCTGTGGACCTTGGAGTTGTTCGCGAAGATGAGCCACATGGCGAGGAGGATGAAGGCAACTCCTGCAATGTTTGGGTATGCTGCGCAGGAAACAGGCGAGACGGGTGTGACATATATATATATATATATACATACATATCTAGCTAACCTATACATATGTGTATATATATATATATATATACATATACATATACATATACATATACATACATATATATATATATATACATGCATGCGTTTATGTGTGCACAAGTATACATGCATCTGTATCGGTGCTGTTCGCCTGTAGCTTGGGTCAACCAGCTGTTGGCTTTGGGCCTCGGTTTTAGGTTTTACGCTCAGGTGTTTAGGCTTGGGGTTTGGGGTTTGGGGTTCCCTGATACCTATGGCCACCCACTGCAGACACGAAAAAGCTCGTAGATGAACCTTGAATACACTCCTCTTACTGTCGTACCGCTCCTTGGCAGATCTGCGCGATATTGTGCGAGTCGGAAAAATCAACCTCGGGCGGGGGGTGCTCCAAGTTGGACATACAGGTTCAGATCGGCGGAAGACGGCTTAGACAAAGGGTTGCGGAACCAGGGAGCTTTCAGTAAGTGTTAAAGCATGGGCATGAAAACCCCGTAGAAATAGAAGTGCCAGTTGATCAAGTCCCAGCCTTCCGAAGGGCAAACCCGAACAGTTGATGTTTCCAGTCCTGCGTACTGTGCTGCGACCACTTCTGGGGTTCAGGGACCATCAAGTCATTCGAGTTCTTGGGTTCAGCACATGATATCTCTAAGCATTGGAGGGAATACGCAGAAGGCTCTGCATCCAGGTTCCGAGACGATCCAAAGATGAGTATAGGGTTCAGGGTCAGTACTTCTGCAACCTGCATTTTCCACAAATCCTTTCCTGCAGAAGAAGAGGGTACCTTTATCTTTCCTGGCCTGTTTTAGAAACTTAAAGCAAAGTCTCGATTTTGCTTCAGAACTTGTCATGCCTGAATCCCCAAAACCCTAAACCCTTATACCCAGAAACCCTAAACCCCTAAAGCCCCAAACCCTAAACACCTAAAACCCTAAACCTTACCCGCAACTTCGACGCCTTCCCGCTGCACTCCGCGACCTGCAGGCGCCGGAGATCTTCCGTCACCTGACGCGTCCCCCACGGCGTTATGTTGGAGCACTTTGTGTTATATAGGGGCCTATTTAAGCTATACCTTATAGTGATCTATAAGGGTACTATAATATGGGGGCCAACCTTGGGGGTAAGTATTAAGGCCCCTGCGTTCAAGGGATTTGGGCTCCCGCTCTTGTATTATAGGGTAGCATCAGGGCTTTAGAGGATACTTATAGCATGACTTGACCCTGCTCTCTGAATGTGTTCTTGAATTTGGGGGTTCCCATGCAGAGTTAGTTGGGTTCAAGGTTCAGGTTCCCCACACCCTAAACCTTAAACCCTTGGGGGGATGTTGCTCCGGCCTCTGAGATTGTCGCCAGGGCATCCCGAAGACGCTCCTGCAAGCAAGTCGCCCCTTTAGGGATCAGGGGTTCAGTGTTTCAGGATAGAGCATTACAGGGCTTACGTTTGGGAGTAAGTTTTCAGGCTGGGAAACCAGAGGCCAAGCTTTACTTCTGAAATTACGAGATTTTGCGTATAAGCTTGACATTTGCAAGTATCTTAGCAGACGCAAGATTCAAGCTTCTTCGACTTGGGAGTTTCCGAAAATGAGGGGTACCTTATTTGGGGGTCCTTATAATATGGATCCAATTGTTAATTAGGGTACTATTGCTGGTCCCTTACCTAAGCCGAGAAATCGAAGGTTCCGCTGTAAAGACGAGCATCTATGCGCGAAGTGCTCATGTTCTATAAAACTCGCTTAGTGGGCCAACAGGTGCAAGGTAGGCACAAGACCTCTGGAGCTCTCGCCAAAAAGGAAAAGAACCTCTAAACACTCTAAGCAAATTGAAGACGACCTGAAGGAGAGCCCAGAGAAAAGTTGCTCCTGTGGGAGCAGGAATCATAACATATAGGAGCCCCGAAAAATGGAACGATCCTTGTTGTAAGGACAATGTGGGTCCTGCTTCCAGCTGACCACATCCACGTCCATGGTGGCAGGAAGCTACGCACAGCACTATCTTCTTCTGGGAGCCAGCGCCCCAAATGGCTACCAACAAGCAAGAAACGCTGCAAACAAAGAGACCTAAAACATAGGGCTGGGTATTCGTGAAAGTAGGAGTTAAGCTCTCAGCGTACAGGTAGTAGAAACATGCTGGGACAAAACCGGAATATTCCATCGAGTTGTTCGAGCCCTCCATTAATAATACAGATAGATAGACGGATAGATAGATGGATAGATAAATGGATAGATAGATGCACAGAAAGATAGAGTATAAACATAACGAAATAGATATGTACATATACTTACAGGGCCCGTATACTGCTCAGCTGGTGAAGTTTAGGGCTTGCTGGGTCTTGTTCAGACTTGTGGGGTAAGCACGCAGAGTCCTGAGGTCCTTGTGCCAAGGGCCCAGGGGGGCCAGGGTTGGCCCCAGTCTGTAGAGCAATTTCGTACACAACCCCAGAGCCAATTCCCCCCCCTGGCCCCTTTGCAGCAAGAATCCATTATCTCTCCGAAACTCCAGTTGGCGAACAAGTGCACCAAACGAGCCAAGCAGCTAATCCAGGTCAGCCCTTTACCTGCAAACAAGTGCCGGCTGCAGGGTTGCGCTTGTTAGGAAAATAAACAGGGCTCCGTCCCGTAGTACTTTGATCGGAATCTCTTACAGAAGATACCTAACCGATCTGCCTGGCGAATGCGTGCCGGAGCGTAGCGCTGAGACCCCCGAAGGTCCCAATGAGCCCAATCCCTCAAGCTGAGGCTCAACATTGAGCACTTAGAACGAAACGAAGTTTGCCCTCAAATCACGTTGAACACACATCTCGTCGTGATCCTCTTCAACCCCCACAAGAGTGAGTCTACATTCTCCCAGTGGCGTGCATACAACAAGGAAAGCAACATCAGTCTGCCTCATGACCCGAAACCCTAAACCTTAACCCCTAAACCCTCATGCCCCGGCCCTCCACCTGAAGCCCAGGCACAGCGCGGAACCCTCAAGCGCTATATACGTCATTGCCCCGTAGTTGTTTAGGACTTCTTCTTAAGACTTCTTCTTGTCTCCTGGGGGGAACCACCGTGACTCCATTGGAGGGTATTCTTACTCTCAGCCCCAAACTCAGTGTCTTCTAAACTCACCAAATATGAATCACACGGCCCCTAAATAGTAGAAGGCCCTGTCGACGGGACCCTACATGGTTTCTGCGAAACCTTCTTGAAACATCAAAATCTTGGAGCCCCTGTTGACTAATTTCCACTACACAACGAAACACCTTCGGGACGATAGTCCCAGAACCCTAAACTAGAGGCCCGAAAGCTGGAAAGACTGTCGCTTCTGTCTGTCTGCCTGTCTGTCTGCATTTGTGTTTTGGGGTTTAGGGTTTAGGGTTTATAGGGGTTTAGGGTTCTATAAGCACAAAGCGACGGCTCCACGAGGTTTAAACTTAGCAGGCGCTCCCCGGCTCCGAAAAACACCATAAAACCCGAAACCCCATAGTCCCATAAATTATAAAGCCCTTTCAGCTCCTAAACCCTAGACCCTGAAGCCTTATCACTCAATTCGAAGTCTCGCCAAGCAGCGGCCGGCATGGTGCGCCGGGAAGAGGAATGCAGCCGACGTGAGGATAAGTAGGTCCGTCGCGTGACGCGCCAGGCTGAGCCACGGATGTGGATTGCAGGGTTTTCAGTCTGGGGGGTATAGGGCTCAGTGGGCTTAGAGGTTTAGGGTTGGGGGATTTGGGGGTTGAAGCAGTTTCCAACTTATGGTCGTGGTTGGATCTGGTGAGTGCTGAGCTGCCCGGCACGGCTAAGGGTTCATCACGGTCTGAGATTGGAGTTGTGAGACATTTCGCAGACCGCTTCAACAAACAACATCTTGTGATCTACGAGCGTCCTTAGCATCTTATCCTCTACGAAGGAATGCCGGTCATTTTGCCTCGCCACATAGAAAACTGCGAAGAACTGCAACAGAGGCTGCTACCTATCTCAAACCCACACTCTGAAATGGAACGTTTATCTGAACTGTGGCATGACCATGGGAGCCTATGATTCCTTGACGCTGGCCAACAGAAAAGTTCGTGGTTTCTCAGGAAAGACCAAATGCAGGCCAATAAAATACCTTTGTCCCTCCTTCGATATACCTCAACTATTATTGACTATAAATATTCAAGATAGATCTGTTGCACACGCTCCATATCCAAGCCCCAGACTGTCAACGCTGTCGTCAATGTAAACATCGTACGACGAAGAGGAACAAGCAGTAAGGGAACAGGCCCTCTCAAATGCAAGTTCTCTAAGCCCAGTCTCCGGTCAGGGCGGTCAGGGCAGTTCTGATCAGAGGGACCACTCAGGGACCCAATAGGGGACCCTGGTTTACGGAAGTCTATAACGAAACTCACGAAAACCCCCTCCTCCCGTAATTCAAATCGCATCTTGGTAAAAGACCTCACAAGAAAAAAAGACTCCAGTCAGAGTCGAGTTTCCCTGAAACCTATAAGGGCAATATTGAACGAACGATCCCTTGTGGAAATGTCTCCTGCTCTTCTGAAGAACCACTTGACACCCCTCACTGGACCTTTATCAGAGACCTTCGTTGGACCTTTGTGAGAAGCCCGTATGATTCTGATTTGCAGACCAGGCGCAATGAGGGCCTGGGCTTGGGTCTAGTTTCAGCGCCCTTGTCCGGCACCTGCAGGGAGTTTCGTTTATCCAAACCCAGAGACTCCAAAAAGTCTGTCCTCAACTTATGAAGAATGGCTGAAGCTATACGATATTTCTTGTTTACTGGGTTGGACTCTCTGGGGACAGCTTTCCCATGAAAAGTTTGACAACGCGCAAAGTATAGGTCATCTGAATGTATTTCAGGGATCTTGTGTGCGCGTTGTCAATGATGAATCCCCAGAGGATTCTAGATTCCCAAACTCTTGAACTCATTTGAGATCAGCCAGCTCGTAGCACTACAAGAACTTGGAACAGAGTCCTACAGGAAGCCACATCATGATAAGCAGCATCTGCACGGCGAGGCGCGTGTCTGACACATGACACGGCCACAATACTATCCGTCACTGGCATGCGCAAACAAAACCCACGAACCCTCAATACACCCAAAGGGTCCAAAGTACCTTCATAGTAGAATGTAGGGTTTCTATATGAGGAACTACTATTATGATTTGGGGAAGTATCCCCCCATAACAGTAACTAGGACCCTTTGGGACAACACACCCCGTCTGAAGAGTTGGAGCTCTTTGCCAGGCCTCCTTCCGGAACAAGGGCCTCAGAAATGAAGCTGTGCCAGAATCGGGTTTAGTAAAGGAACGCTACTTTTGCGAAGCTCAAAAAATGAGTTCCTTAGAGCATTTAGGGCTTGTTCGGCCATGCCTCAACGTTTGCGGCTTCTACAATTCGAAGGCTTCGTGTGAGCATCTAAGCCGAATCCTGACCTGAACCCCTACATCCATAAGCCTTACGTAAGCCTGCACGGATTGCAAACCCTGCAGCCCAAGACCCTAAACCGCATGCGCCTTAACCCCTACCCTGCTGACTCCGTCAACTCCCACACCTCTGAACTCTCTAATCCCCAGCCAAAAAACCATTGAAACCTACACCAAAGTGCAAAGCCCCAAGAGATGGGTTCCTTGTGCTTTGTTCGCGTGGCCATCGTACGAGGCTGCAAAGAGAGTGGTTCTCTTCGAGAGTCTACCATGGGGTTGCTCCAATCTATGGTCACATGTGGCAACCTATTTTCGTATACCTTTCCATGTTCCCTAACCTGAACCTTTCTTTGGTAGCAGGGGTCGCGGTCGTTGTGGTCGTGGTGGTCGCGGTAATCGTCGTAGTGGTCGTCGTAGTATTAGGAGTACCAGCAGGAGAAGCAGGAGCAGGAGCGGGAGCAAGCAGCAGCAGCAACAGCAGCAGCAGCAGCAGCAGCAGCAGCGGGAGTAGTAGTCGTAGTAGATGTCGTCTTGATCGTCGCTCTTGTTGCATGGATCTTGGTTCTGGTTGTTGGGTCTTGCTTCTTGGTTCTTGGTTGTTGCTTCGTGGATCTAGGTTGTTGGTTGTGGTTGCTGCTGCTGTTTCATTGCTGTGTAATGGTTGTTGTTGCTGCTGTTGTTGCCACTGTCGTTGCCGTTGCTGCTGTCGCTGCTGTTGCTGCTGCTGCCGCTGTTACTGTACTGTTGCTTTTGTTGGTATTGTTCTTGTTGTGGTCATTGTGGTTGTGTCTGTTGTTGCTGTTGCTGTCGCTGGTGCTGGTGCCGTTGATGTTTGTGTTGCTCTGCTGCTGCTGCTGCTGCTGATGCTGTTGCTGTTGCTGTTGCTGTTGCTGCTGCTGTTGTTGTTGTTGCTGTTGTTGGTGCTGGTGCTCCTACTGTACTGTTGCTGTTGTTGCTGTGATCGTTGTAGTTGTGTCTGTTAGTTGTTGCTGTTGCTGTCGCTGGTGCTGTTGATATTGGTGTTGCTCTGCTGCTGCTGCTGCTGGTGTTGTTGTTGTTGGTGGTGGTGGTGGTGGTGCTGGTGGTGGTGCTGTTGGTGTTGTGGGTGTTGCGGTTGTTGTTGCTGTTGTTTTTGTTGTCGCTGTTCTTGATACCTCTGTTGTTGTCGTCGTCGTCTGAAATGTTGTTGTTGTTGATGGTGGTGGTAATGGTTGAGATCTCTAAGGTGACTCGGGGTGAGAACAACCCCCACCTAGCTACAGTCTTCCCTGCGCATTGAGCGACAGGAGAAAAACGAGTGCCAGCGAATATGCAATCGTATCGGGCTTGTCTGTTGGACCTTTGGAGGGGGGGAACTACCGGGCGTCCGACCAAAACCCTGAAGCGCTACACATACGCTGTCGGAGCAGCTCAGCACGTCTATACAACCTTGGCACGAACATCAGGGACCGTCGTGCACAGTGAAAAGACAGAAATGGAGCCACCTGCTAGAGCTGTCATTCCACGAGCAGGCAACTTGCCCAAAGTCGTCCGCGTGAAAGCAGTCGTGGACAGTCTAAAGACTCGAAAGGATCCGACAAGTGGATGCGATTGAAAAGGACCATTCGTTAACGAATCTAGCGGAAGGAGAACCCTCTGGGAGCTCCGTTTGCGGATCCTTCGACGGGTCTGGGGCAATGCGTGGAGGCACGTCGACTGCATAATCTGAAACCGAAAGCTGGCTCGAAAAACAATGCTACCAGCAATCCTCGAACCTCGATCCTGCGAGACTGCTCACCCTCTACCGGCGTATTATAGTGCTTTGGCCCGCGAGAGCAGTTCCCCAAAAGTGCCACTTAGTCCATGCTACCTTTAACATGCATTACACAAGACCTGCACTTGGAAACCCCAACGGCCCGTTTTCAAAAGCCCCCAAAGGCGGGGCTTAGGCTTTAGGGCTAGGGTCACCCATGAGACTCTCATCCAGATTGCAGGGGTACCTTCTTCTGTATCCCTAGAGCAGGGCTAGCTGAGTAGATGCCTCACCGGGCTCAGGCTTAGGCTTAGGCATTGATGGGGCCTAAACCACAAGAACACAATTGTTACAAGGGCTTCATAAGAGTTCTATGTTCTAACTAACATGTTCTCAGCTTAAAATTTGTCATCCGATGTGTTTGTAGGGACTTTACTTGGATATCCCTACTTATCTTTGACGCCTACATTGCAGTTTCAACAGTTCCTTGCCTCCGATCCTCTGGGATGCCGAACCCTATCGGGCGTAGGGCGTCCCCTGAAGTTGGAAAAGTTCGGGACGCTTCGCAAAGAGCTGCGAGAGCAGGTACTCTTCGTCGAAGCACTGACAGCCGACATCTGGGTCCCGGTCACCTGAACCGGAAACACCCAAACTCTGAAGCCTGAAAATGGGAAAATCAAAGCCTCCCCCAAAGCCCTACAGAACCTCAGAGTTGACTTTGGGGCGCCCGCTGTGAGGTCTTGGGGGGATCTTGAGCTCAATGGCGCTTTTGCTTAACATCGTTTTCTCCATCACAGGGCAACAACAGCCTGGAGCCAAGGTATGGCCAGAGTGACAGGTGGGGGAGGGTATGGGTCGATGGTTGTATCGTTGAAGGGTCCAGGGAGTGGGGGGATCTTGATCAAGTTTCCAACTTTTTGCAGTTTCAGCTCAGACAAAGCACAGAATGCAGATGAACCAGAGTCTTAGACCGGCAGCTTGGTTTCGGGTTGACGGAAGACATCGCACACGCTCAAATCCTCTCCGCTGTTCATAAATCGCACATCTACTACGGGATCGACATCCAAGGCAGATCGGCTTCGGCATGCTTCGGCTTTAATATCGTGAGCTTAGCCATGCAACATGGGCTGGGACATCCAGCAGCACATAGAAGCCCAACACCAAATTTCAGCAAGATCACGGGCAGTGGCCAAGACCTCGTTGTACGCCTGCATGAGCTCGGGGCAATCGGCGCCATGTACCGCCATGTACCTGCTAGGAGTATATACCCGAAGCCCTCAACCCTGACGGCGAAATCTTCGCTGCGGCCGTACATCTGGAACGAACCCAGAAACTGTTTTCGGAGTTCAGGGTTCAGAACTTCAGCCCTACACCCTGAATGCCAAACCTGCAGTCTGAACTCAAAAAACCGTAAGTCATAAGCCCTCTCAACCCCTCACCCTGAAAAGCTGATCCTACGCCGACACCACCTACTGTACCCCAAACCCAAAACCCCATACCGCAAAGCCCTAGACCCTGAACCGCCAGGTTCAGAAATTGAGGTTGAAACTATCCGACGGCTCAAAAGGTTGGATGAAGACAGGTGGGAGAAGTCCTGATAAAAGCCGTATCCTCTTCTGTAGATGATGGAACTTCTGCACATATTTAACTTACGATAGATACACAAATAGAAAAATAGATATTATATATATACATATATATATATGTATATATATATATGTATTTATGTAATTATCTGGAACTCCCCCCGAGCCTACATATTCAGAAATGCTAAGGCCCTAAGGGAACCCACCTCCGAGTTCTCGAAGGTAAAGTTAGGTATTGAAGTTTACGTCACGTCCCAGGAGTGCTCCAGGTAAACCAAGCTAAACTCAGCCTGTGCCACGACAAAGCCAATGAGCTCACTGTTCCGAGGCCCTTTTCGCAAATTCAAATTTCCTTCACCTGACCAAGTTATCAAAAATCCAGCAAAGCGGCTTTGCCCAAACCACCAGATCTTGCTTGCACTCCTGCTCTAACTGAAGATGGTCGAGGAAAGCCTAACTACACCGCAAATCCTGAAGATAATGATGCAGTAGGATTTGATTTGTATCCAGGCCAAAGGGGAACCATCTGCCGAAGCCCTGGTCATCCAAAATACGTGCCTTTATGGTTTGAGTGGGCTTTGGGGGTTGCTTACAGTATAACTTAGCATGAATATGTATACAGGACAGAGGAACTCTAACGCTGCACTTCTAGCTATTTTGTATGTGCCTCGTACTGCAGGCGAGGTGTGGAGTATGGGAGGGCTGATTCTCTGAGGCTTCGGAAGCTACCTTAACACTTAAACGATCTCTATCTACATAACAAGGCCACAAACAGATATCCGACCAAGGGATCTGGGTATGCAAACAAGAGCCGGCGATCGGTAACCCCTTAAACGACCCAAAGCTTGAGTTCAGCTAGTACCATTTCTATGCGGTGTTGCTTCTCTGCGGGAGTGGTTGGACACGCCTCAGTACATTGCATCCAAACGAAACCCTAAACCCATGCCTGCTTTTCAAAATCCCTCGACCCAACACCTCGACCCTCTCACCGCAGAGCTTAATGATCGAATCCCCATTCCAGACCCCGCACGGCATGAATCTGAGAACCTTTTTCGTAGGCAAGATCCTCTTAAATCGTGGACCCTGAACCCGCAACCCTACTCCGAAATCGCATCAGCGCCTACCTGGGATGGCTCTATACCTTCCCTAGGCGTAACTCCTGTCTTCCAAACCAGAACGGCCATCTCTTGAGATTCTCTTGCTGGTAGAATCGCACCTTCAGGGTACCAGAATGGTTGGAGCTCAAAGCTCACGAATCTTTAAGCTATGGGTTAGAAGCTGCCCCTACCCTGTAATAGTGGTATAATAGGAATATAATAGGGCCCTAAAATAATCCTTATAGTCACTATTACAGGGTGGGGGCAGCTTCTAAGGTATGGGTTTTGCCAGCTTGGGTTTAGGGCTTCGAAACGCGGAAGTCACGTTGTCCGGAGCTAGGGTGTCAGGTATGGGACTTATGTTGCACATGTGTTCATACTAACTCAAAGGCTTGATGGGCGCAGAGCTAAGTGCCGCAATAATCCACTTCTTTACGCATCCCCCTTCACAAGAAGAGCAACATCCGAACATTGGGGCCATTCAATGCAGAGCTCAGTGTACCATTTACCAAGCCTCACATATACTTTTTGGAGATCCTGTTACAAACCAGACAACAATAGACTAAAAAACGGTACCTGCCCATTAGCCACGATTTCTCGAACATCAGAGAAATTCAGCTAAGATTCCAGAAACCTTGCAGAATTCAAGTCATGCCAAACTCAAGGCTTTGGGCTCCATAGGGTGGCTTTGAGTTTAGGTTCATGGTCTCAGGCTCTTGGGTATTCATCCGCCTTGTCCAGCTTCCTGGAAGATTTTTGCAGGTCCATGCTCGGGGATCTTAACAGGAGCTTAGCCTTTTAGGATGTAATATAGGGGCCTTAACAATTAGACTAGGGTTTTGGGGCCCATTATACTAGAATTACAATAAGGAGCCTCCCAAAATAGTATATAGGTATGTAATATTCATAAGGGCCCCTACGTTACAAGGCTTCAGGCTTTGTTCCTGCTAGTAAGTCCTGGGCACGCCGAGCTTGCCGCGCTGCAGCTCTTGAGCTCCAGTCCTGTTCGCCCAAACCAGCATGTCGTCCCGCGAGTTGGCGTCGATGAGTGTCGTGACAACGTCGGGCCGCTCCGCTGCGTACTTGCAGAGAACGGGCAGCTTGTTCCTAGGTCCCCAGCAGCCCCAGGACCGGCTCATTCAATTTTTATCTGGAAAAGCAGCCTCATATGTATCTATATATATATATACACAATTCAATAAGGCCTACCCTAGATCCTGTTGCGCCAGGCCGATTGTCTGACACAGTAGCGGGAGCAACGTCCTCCACTCATGCCCGCCACCCACAACTGAGCCTTGGGGCCTTTGTGTGCTCCATAATTACTAGGCCCTGTGGCTCGAAAATTTTGGCCCGAGGATGTATCAAAAGCAAAGAAAAGGACAAAATGCTACCAAAGAAGAACTTGGATTCAACCAGATCTTGACCAATTCACTTTGGAGCGCCGGCCCTGAGAATTTCAGTCGGCAGGACCCTGAAGGAAGGCTGGCCACAACGTCATCATACTCCAGGTCCATGAGCTTCATACCTTGGGGCTCACTGCTCTCAATACTTCAACTGTTAGAGTGTCTCTCCGTCTGTCTGTTGAGTGTGTGTTTATGTGCATGTGTGTTTTTCGGTAAGGCCATATGGTATCATCCTAATGCGGACTTGCAAGGAGTTCTATTTCAAGTCTTCATCACTCCCAATCACATATTGCTCGTTCCGGCTTGCTAGTGTAAATTTCTGGGGGCCATGCCCAGACAATGCGAAATAACCCTGAACCCTCAACCCCGTAAACCCTAGACACAAAACCGAACACCCGAAGATAAGTGACCGTCCCCGTGTGTGAACTTTTCGCAGGATGAAGCCATCGAGCCGATAGCATCAACGTCGCCAACGAGGCCGACATTCCTTGGCTGACGTAACCCTAAACCCTAAACCCTGATTAAACGTTGGTTTCGGGTTCGGGGCTGGGCTAAGGGTTTGGGGTTTGGTGTTTAGGGCTTATAGGTTCATGGGTAGATGGGGCTTATACAAGCGCTGTAGCATTCGGGTTCGGCACAAGCCACATAGAACTCCGAAAAGATGCAGCTTTTGGCGTCCTTATCATTCGTGCCGTAGAAGCCCGCGAAGCTTACATCCCAATAGCAAGCAGCGGGGAACCCATGATTCCAAACTGAAACCCGATGAGCTCATCTTGATTTGGCTTCCAATGGGCCAAGACTCTGCATGTCCTTGGAGGACATCGATCTGCACATCTGCTCCAGATTCTTCTTGTAGCTCTCAACTGAATGCCTGCCAGCTTATGGGAGCCGCTGTTATACTGTTCTGGGGGAGTTCAGAAACCTAGGGGGTTCCCCTTGACTATTTTCTGAAACTCCTCCTATGTGCCGTTAATGACAGGGTAGGGTTTTGACTCCAAAGTGAACAGAGTAAAAGGGTACTACCAGGTGACCTAGGCGAGTAAACATAACATATTCAAACCGCTTGGCTGTCTGGTTCTTAGTAGGGAATGGGGGAATGTAGATATTAGGGACTACTATGGGGGATTATATAGGGACTACTATAGGGATCCATTCCCCGATTCCTTACTAAGCACCAGACAGTTGATTTCCATGACAGTTGCCTGCTCCGACCGTGGGTTGAATATTGTGCTGACGCTAGCCACAACTATCCTTCATTCCTGATGCGTTTCTGTAACCTCGAATTGCAGCTGTTCATGCCTTACGAAACTGATCCAAAGCTACGAGTAGAAAGGCAGTGTGGCGTCACATGGTTCGCCTGCTTTGTGTTGTGCAACACCACCAGCAATGTGCAGTCCTAGACAGCCTCGTTTCTGAACCGACCCTGCAGCCCGAGATTCGTTTCTAAACTAAGCCCGCGCCACTGGTCCTCCAAACTCCAAGACCCAAAACCCGCACACTGACCCCGAAACATGTACAGGGCTTAGGGCTCAGAGCCCTGAACCGAAAGGCCAGAGTTAGAGGCCCGGTGGCTTCTTGTTGTCCGCCAGCGGAATGTAGAAGATGAAATGTTGAGGTAAGGACGACTCCCTGGTGGAGGGCTTTCGGGATTGGGGATCGCTGAAGGCCCGGTGGAGGGCTCTAGTAGGGACACTCTCCCTTGGGTCCATCAACAGGGCTTCTAGGGTTCAGGGTGGAGGTTGGATGAGGACTCCTCTGGGGAAGGGTCTTTGCAGGGAGGGGGTTCTAGGTTCCCCTGTATCTCCGTCAATGCGGAGACAGCAATGAATGGTTCGCTTTTTCCGTTTTCTCTCCTGAGGTGGCCGAAAAATCAAAGGCACACTACAAGCACCGCCGGATGACGTAGGATCCCAAAATGCTTCAATCCTCATACAAAACCTCAAGATCATGTACACGAACAAAGGTTGGGCAATCTAGGCGTATGTAGGATGCAGGCACGGGGTCAGGATGCAATGGGGCCTTGGTGAGGGACCTAAGTCTTATGGATAGCGCTTTTTGGAGTTTATAGGCTTGTTCCGGAGCTTGGTTTAACCATCTTACCTGTTGATATTCGGACAGCACGGCTCCATTCCACACCCAACACCAAGCCCATAACTCAATTACATCGCCAACGCACATAAGTTGACGTAAGCGTCAACCTTGAATTAACGCTCGAACAACAACAAACACAACAACAATCACATCCACAACCACGACAGCAGCAGAAGCAGCGGCCACGGCGACGGCAACAGCAACTTCGACAACGCCAACAACAACAGCAACAACAAAACCAACAGCAACAATAGTGATATAGTGACGACACCAACGCCTGCAACGATTGAACTTGTGCAACAATCAAACTGCGCTATTGCTGCGATCGAAACCTCAGTGCTAATAAAGTCTGCGCCCTGTATCCCAAAGCAGAAAGCCCCTACACCCGAAGCACCAGATTTGAGACCCGGGTACAGGGGTGCCACGTTCAGAGCGGCCAGGATATCGTTTCTGAGCGTCGCGAGGAACTGACCAACACCATCAGATCCTTGGACAGTTACAAGTTAGTGCATAGACCGTGTTGAGGGTTTTGGCATTATATAGTACGCTTGCGGGCTTGTCAATGCTTATAAGAAGTGACATGGAGGTTCGGTGCTTCAGCAATTGGAAATGCCAGGGCCGCAGCCTTGACTTCACCAACGGGCTTTGGAGTGGGTTGGCTTCGGGTTGAAAGTTCGAGGTCTGGTGTTTGGGGATCTGGCAGTCGGGTCTTCTGGGAGGTTCCAGCAAGCTCGAATTGCTCGAATCTAGTATAACAGCCTGGCAACTGCACTTAGGTTGGGGTGCCCGCAACCGGGATACAGCTGGAGTAAACAACCCTTGCAGTGGCAGCGCCTGAACGGAAAAAAAACAGACTATGTCCCCAACATGTCTGCGCCGATCCGTCCAGAGTGTTGTAATTATTACTTGAAGGGGGCTGTACCCAAGGCAGCTGCGGAAATCTGAAGTTGTGGCTGTGCACCAATCATCAGCGTCGGAGCAACCTCACACCTCAAAAACCTTCAACAATCCCTGAACTTAAACATCTAACCCTGACGCCCCGAAACCCGGCATCGCATGGGACATCGACCCTCGGAAAGGTTATTCACAGCGGAGCCTAAAAGGAAAACACAAGGGTCCTTGGAAGGGGTCCGGGTTCAGAGTTTCGGGCTTGGGGGTTGCGGTATCCCCGTCGAGACAGTTCACAATTTCTTAAGTAAAGGTACATGAGACCAACATCCCAAGTACAAAATTCTGCGCTACTTCGCGTACCTTAGATGACCATTAGCAGGTCTGGTATCTTCGTGACCGTGGGCGGTGCGGAATCTAATCCCTTGACTCCTAGACAAAGCCGGAAGCCCAAGCCTAGGATATCAAATACTCCCTAAACCCGAAACCCTTTGCGTAAACAACAACCGGAAGGAAGGATCTCCAACCCCAAGGAGCATATTGGGGTGTAGGGTTTGGGGTAGATATAAGGTATACGGCTTAGGTTCCTGAGTTGCTTTGGGGCATGGGCCTTGAGGCCGCCGGGCTGAGGATGCGTATGAAACCTTCTGGGAGTTTCCGAAATTAGGGGACCCTAATACAGTACCCAAAATAGTAGGATCCTTCTTATAAGGAACTCAAAATGAGGTAACCCCTAATTTTCGGAAACTCCCTTCTACTAACGACCCAGAGCTTCGCAGGGGGAAAACGGTGTAGGTGCTGTAAGGAAAGATGCTATTGAATACGCAGAGCCCAGTATCATCCAGAAGCCCGAAGCCCATGCATGTTCAACAAACTCAGCCAAGAAGGAATCCCCCAAATGATCCTAATCCGAAACCGAACTGAATCCCGAAAAGACCTCTACTAGAGGGGCCTTAATCATGAGAATAGGGTTTTGAGGTATATTATACTATACTGATACTAAAGAACCCCAAAACTGGTATAGGTAATTATCGAGGCCCCTGTATTCGCCCGTGCTGCAGAGGCGCTCGTCGATGCGTGGGCTTGCAGTAGCGAAGCGTCGTCAGAGCCGGAAGGCTGGCAGAAAGGCTCTGCGGCAGAAGAGCGTCCCCAGAAGGTAAGCAGCAGCAAACGAAAAACAGCCGACATGGCCGGCGACATTTTCTGGAGGTTTACAGGGCACAACTAACTAGGGTGAAGGGCTTTGAAACAACCAAATGTCAAGACCTAACATTCGAGTAGGGATTGGGATTACGCAGCAGCTTCGTTACAGGACTACAAGTTGTTTTCACTACCCAGTATACAATGTTGTATGAAGCTGTAAAACAAGTAACACCTCAAAGCCTAGGTGGAGAATCTGTTCGGTATCGCAAAATCTGTTTGAGCAAGCGGCAAGGCATGATGGCTATGAGGTACGAGTTTAGGTTTAAGCTTTTGCAAACAAAGTCCTGCTTTACACTTCGTGTCCTGAACCGTGCGCAGTATGGTAAGTTGCCAGAGATGGTGCAAGGTTCTGTCCATCGACAGCCTGGCATTCGGGAACTCCGCACAGAGAAAACAGGAGCATGACTCTTCTTTATGAACTGTATACTGTATATGAACATACATAGAGACATAGTACGATTGTGAATAGTCATCTCTCTCTCTCTCTCTCTCTCTCTCTCTCTCTCTCTTTCTATTCTGCATGCATTTCAAGCATTGGCTTTACCACGTCATTGGTGACAGACCGTAGAAGCACTTCCACTCGCAGCCTCGCTTGACAATAAGAGCAATGTTTTTGAATTTGCATAACTCAGTTTTAGTCAGCAGGCCGAATGATGACAGGTGCAAAAGTGCTACAAGGGGACCTAGAATCTAGAAGGCGGGCTCCACTTCCCTATCACATGGGCAACTTCAGGAATCTGGACGGCTCCTGCGGGCACTTCGTAGGGGCACTACAACGCTGGGGTTGGCGTTTGCGGCTGCTTAAAGAACGTGCCTAAAACCGTAAGTAGGTCCTTCCTACAGTTTAGACATATAGTCCTTGCTTCGTCCTTCTCAGACAGGCCTGAAGCCCTAAACCTTGCAGCTATGTCGCTCGATGGGAGTCTCGGGTGCGATCTGGCCCTGCCGCAAGCACCAGGGTGTTGAAGGTGTGGCAAAAGGGCCGAAATCATTAGAGTGGGGTTTTAATTGGGGCCCATTGCAGTATAACTAGAACAGGGAACCCCAAAATCGTTATTAAGGGTGGGGGGTTGAGAGTCCTTGTCATGAGGATTCTGGGCCCCTCTGAGTCGACCCAGGCCCTCCCGCATATGTAGACCCCTGACTGACACCCCTGCTTGTTACAGGCAGGAATACTCGGATCCCAAACTCAATCCCTGCCATGGCTGAGCGGGTAGGCATGAGCGCAGGAAACATGCGAATGAGTCATATAAGCAGAAACAACGCTGCATCTCAACTGATGAAGACATGCACAGGATGTAGGTGGCAGCAAGCACAATGGTTATTCGCGGGTAGTTGTATCGTTGAGGGGCAAGAAGAGGTCCTGGAATGCATACATAGCAAACAGCTGCCTAGCGGACTACAGTCAATGTTCAGAGTTGAGGGTGCAGGGTTTGCAGTTTAGGGTGTACTCTTACTTTTACTCTTCGCAGTTGGTAAGGAACTAGCACCTTTTTTTGCATCCCTTTCAACATCTAAACCAACAAGCTCGAAACCAAAAGTTACCTTACAAGAAACGAAATAGAATAGCGGTCCACATCCCGACTCTTGATTATCCTGGAGCTCCCGTGCCTTGCGGGCCAACTCCGGTGGCCTTGTTAGGGCGCAGGAATTCGACTACGCGGTCGTGGGATCTGGGAAAAAGGGCAGAATGTACGGCCTCAATAATTGCCTCTACCAATTTGGGTGGGTTAAAAGTCTGCAAGGCTCGTAAGCTTTCTCGCTTCGATGGAGGCTCGGGGTATGCATAAAGAACTATTTCTGAGTTTGCGGGGGATATTCTACATTAGCAACAGCAGTTGTCCGTAGGGTTCTTTGTTATGTACATACAGGGGGGTACCATACATCTATGTGTATATTATATATATATATGTATATATATATATATACATATATATTATAGAGAGAGAGAGAGAGAGAGAGAGAGAGAGAGAGAGAATGTAAGTTCTACCCCGAAACCCTTTCCAATTTTGAATATCTTCGTTCTCCTCGTTAGGTGGTAGGGGGTCCAAGCCTCCGAATGGAGTGGAGGCTGGTCTGGTGGGGTTCATGGCTTTAGGGTCGAATCCAATCCTTCGAAAGCCAGGAAGCTTTTAAGCAAACAGCCGTGCTTGTCACTCAACTGAAGCCTACACAGGCAGAGTTCGAGGCCATATAGTGCCGGAGTTTTAGTTTAGCTGCAGCTACACAGCTGTAAAGACACCGAAGTGCGCACGAGAGCGGAGGCGTGTGCATGTTGCGGCTTGAGTAGCTAGATGGTAGGAGCTGTGCGGATCCAGGGGCCATCGGCAACTCCCATGAACTAGAATCTAGAACGCCTGCTTTTCAGTCAGGAAGAGTTTAACATTTTTTCTGGGACTATCGCTGAACAGAGCTTTGCTCATGTTGTTGGCCGCTGGTCCCCATCTAGCTTCTCTTCGGTTACATTCACTTGATTTCAAGGCCCTGCACCCTAAACCCTTGAACCCTAAACCCTACACCGAAATGTTCAAGCCAGGATATCAACATGAAGACAAGGTACAGAAGAGGCTCGGATTGCTCCGCCTCCGGCACGCATCCGGAGGTTTTCGGAATTGAAGCTTAGGGTTCAGGGTTGGGGTTTAGGGCTCAGGGTTCAGGGGTTTAAGGTTACGGACCCCTCTTGGGAATAACCAGGAACTCTTCGAGAGCTCAGGGAGTCTCGTGATCCTACCGTCGAACCCCAAAGCAATACAAGGACCCCCTTTACGATCTCTCAACAGGATTGCGTAGGTGTTCCTGCAGGCTTTTGCGCGGTTTCGTGTTTGGGTGGGGCTTGGGGGCTAAGATTTAGGGCCTGCGGCTTATTTCAGGGTTTGGAATTCAAGATGGTTGGAGGGTTGGTACAACATCCAAGTCCCTTGGTGAAATGAGCTCTTGAAGGTAGGCAAACATCTAGCTTGCCGTAAATCCTGAACCCTGAGGTTCAACGGAATACCCACTGTCAGCTTCAGGTACTACAACCTTTTATTGCCAACTGCGCAAATAGTCCAACCAGAAGTCTTGTCACGATTCACTACTTGAACCTGGGAACTGGGGCTGCACATGGAGTTTTGGTTAGACTACAGGTACCCTGAACTCGACTCATTGCTCATGATTGCGCCCTGCCTGAACCGCTGAAGCTCGAACCCAAAACCGAGACATCAGAGGTGCTGGTGCTGATCGCTACCCCTAAACCCAAAACCACACGACCGATATCTTGGATCCTGAAGGGCATGCGCACAAGATTGAAGGATCAGGGATTGAACTCCCTGCCCTAATCAGCGAGCCTCATGCGCCGTCGGCCAGTGATCCAATGGTGCTGCTGTAGCAGGCAGAGGCTTCTGGGAGACCTTTCCATGTGTGTCTCTGTGTAGGGTGTTATAAGGTTGAGGGATCAGGGCTTAAAGGGGACTGCGCATGGTGTAGTTTGCTGGAATTAGAGCCGGCATCGTCTCTCTTAACGTTGAGGGTCTGCCATCCCGGAAGGAAGCTTAAAGTTCGAGCTCAGGGTTTGCATTTACACTCGTTGGCTTGGGTGTCTATGGGAGCAATTTAAGGGTGCTGCGCATTCCCTGATGAATAAACCACCTTTGCCTAATGTCCCTTTACACGGAGCAGATTTTTGTCTGGGAGCGGGGCTGTTCAACAATAGCACGAAAACACACACCTTCTGTTCCAGGTTCAGTATGGTTCTTGGTACTGTAGAGTTGAGCAAGGACTCCAAAGGGTCCGAGTAGAGTGCATATGTATAAAGTGTACTGAGATTCTTGGACGCCATGGTAGGGCGGCTACGATACCCAAAGCACTACAGGACACCACTACACTTCCAATCAATGCCTTCTCCTCCTCCTCCACCGGTAACCAGAAGACCCTAGCGCAGATTGACATCTCCTTAGAGAAGCAAGCTCCCAGCCATCCAACGGAACTTCGCTAGCCCTCAACCCCAACCACCCACGTAACCTATACACACCCAAACGCAGCGACCAACCTCTGCGTGGTGGATCGGTGCTGCCGGTGCCTTTCGGTTCTGAGCTTCGGAAATGAAGTGCAAGCTTCGGATCTTGAGGGTTTGAAGGGCTGCGGGTTTGTACTGGAGCTTCTAACAGCTACTTCACTTCGCAAACAGACAAAGCGTCCATATCCAAGATTCCAGAAGGATGTTTGCCAGTTGTGGCTTATCACAGAAAGCCTTTCCGCAGGGTACCATGAAGTCTTCAGAACACCACCACCACCACCACCACCACCACCACCACCACCACCACCACCACCACCACCACCACCACCACCACCACCACCACCACCACCACCACCACCACCACCACCACCACCACCACCACCACCACCACCACCACCACCCACCACCACCACCACCACCACCACCACCACCACCACCACCACCACCACCACCACCACCACCACCACCACCACCACCACCACCACCACCACCACCACCACCACCACCAACATGTGCCAAACCCTAGTAGACTCTAAACTTTACACTTTAGACTTTACACCACAAAGCCCAAACCCTACTAAACTGTATACCATCGACCCTTAACCCAACATGTTGAAACCTAGCTTCAACATCCCTAGACCCCACACCTTCAAGACCAAATCCTAAAACCCAAACTTCAATTCAGGGCCCTAAGTCCCCAACACGCTAAACCAGGGAAAAAACTCAGAGTTTCCCGAGCCCAGCAATAAGATCCGGACCTCAGCAATCCGCAGAGGCTTGGAGTTGTTTAGATTTCGGATCTACCAGACAGTTTGTGGTGGTGGTGGTGGTGGTGGTGGTGATGGCGGTGGCGGTGGTGAATTGCTTTCTCCTTACCGAACCACGCAAATCGTTTCAAACGCTGGAAGACTCTGCTCCCTCCGGTCCCTCCCAAAAAATGCTGAGAGGAGGTGGGGGCTTCCTCTAGACCCCCGACCAAAATGTAGGGTAGAGTGAGTCTAGG